CCATTTGACCTAGCTATTTCTTCTAGGTATCTTCTCAAAAAAGTTAAAAGATATCATATTACAGTGATATTTATATACCCATGTTGATAGCTGCACAATTTATGAGATAAATCTTGATCTTGAAATTAATATAAATATATTATGTACAAAAACGTAGTACACACAAGAAACATAAACATTATGTACTGCAAGTATGTGCTAATGAAAAAAAGAAATGGTTTGTAAACTATTGGTAGATCCACCTGAAATAAAAATTATTTGCAGCTGGGAGTTTAGCTCAGTGGCACAAGCACCTGCCTGGCAAACGCAAGGTCATGAGTTCAATCCCCAGTACCAATAAATAAATAAATAATCATTTGCTTCCTGGTCATAAAATAGATCTATATTATCTCAATACATTTGAATAATTATTGCAGGCCAATTCGTCATCATGCACTCTTTTCAAATAATCAATGAGCAAGATATGGGCCCAATATCAAAGTATTCATTTTAAATGATGTCAATGATATACAAATTATAATACAGAATAACTGATGCAATGAGGTATATGATAGAGAAAAAGACATGGAATTATTTTTAGAGTTTTTGTTTATTTAAGGTTCATAGACATAAAGGTCTGTTTGCTAAAAACGTGCATATTTGTCTTTAAACCTGCCATGATGCCATGCAATATTGACAATGGTTTATTCACTTAGAATAATGAACTATTTCTCAAAAGTCCACAAATTGTATTGGTGTGGTTTGGAAAACATTGCCTACTTAACACTTATGTTGCATTAACATGGAGTCATTTCTTGTCATAGAAAATGGGGAGGACAAAAGATATCTGTGTTTTGGGTAGAAGGTATTTTAAATGTTAATTCTGGGCACAGATCATCAAGGATTAGCTCATTTATGGCACATAAATTCAGAAGGAGCTGAAAGTGGACCATCATCATGAGGACATGAGCTAAAAGTGACTGACTAGGGCTTGTCCAAGCCAAACTTTTTAAAAACAAGTCTATTATTCACTGTCTCACTTTTTCTCCTAAAGTTAGGTCACTAATTAATCAACATATTTTTTACATATATTTCTCCTACATATTTTCACAGTATAGTCTTTAGAATCACATCAAGGCCATCCTGTCTTCTCTTTACTGACTGATTTAAGATTTCTTTGTGTCCCATTGTCAGTAAGAGATCATGCAAATATATAAGGAAAAATACTGAAAGCTCAGGTTTCTGGTTCCAATGTATTAGAAATTGTCCACTTAGATAACTGGTAGTTGCTTTTCTTTGCTCCCCTTCCTTGGAAGTTTACTTTAGATGCTGTTGCCATATTTATGTCTTCTGTGATCTGTTTGGATAAGTCACCAATTTCTCCTCTCATTACAAGCCAGCTGGTTCCTAATCTTTTTTTAGTTAATTTCATCAGTTTTTTTCCCATCCTTCTTTAAGCAGTTGGGGGTGGGGAGAAATGATGATTTTTAAGCATTCAGATGAAAAAATTTCAGAAAAGCCAAATAATAACTGAGTATCATTATTATCAACAAAATTCAAAGGCACAATTTGGCTTGACATCTCTTCATCCTCATTATGCCAAGATCAAAGAATGATTTTTATTTTCACAGTGTTCAGATAATATGTATCTTTGACTGATAACTACAATTCAACTGTTGCTAAGTCCTACCATTTCTCTTCTAATTGACAAAAGAATGTAGACACGTTCTTGAAAGATGTGTTTATTACTAATGAAAATAGCCTAATTATATAATAAAAATCCTTTTATATACATCAAGACTTAAAAATTTTATTTCTCATAATGAGACTAGAAAATTTGAACTATAATACAGTAACATGAATTTGTTTGTTCCTACTTTGGGTAAATATCATTATAAACAAAATGAAAAAGAAAAACCCGTTGTTAAACATACTCCATACTGAACAAATAATAGTAATGTACATTACTCCTTAAGAGTCTTCACATAGCCCTGATATATAATTATACATGTATTCTCTGATATCATGTCTTCTTCCTATAAATGCCTTACAATATCTAAAGATTCAATTCAACTCCCAGTAGAATACAAGAGGAAAAAATTCAATATAAGAATTCAAGAGGAAAAAAATTCAATACAAGAATTAGATACAAAAGGATGCAAAATTATTTAATACAGGCTGTAATTATAACTATGGTTGAGAGGAATTTATTAACCTGTGTCTCACTACCCTAAGAGGAATGGTTTATCTATCTCTTATTAATCCACAGCAATGGTGTATGGTTTTACAAATGCAAGCATAAGGATCCAGGTGAGTGCTTCACATCATCGATTCCCATTCCACTACTCTCCCACCTTCCCATGCCCATCCACGATTTTTGTGGGACACAGTGCAAAAGACTTGAGACTAGTGACCTTCACAACATTTCTCTGTATTTATTACACACCCAGGAGCAGAACAAGCTTGGATCTTGACTCACTGCAGCTGGACTGTAAACGAAGAAGCTGGCCGCACCCATTTCTACTGGGAATTGTGAGAAAGAGTTTGGGGGGAAAATCTGCTGGCCGATGTTTTTCTGGGCTAAACCATCTCAATTTAACAAAGTTATTCTCCAAAATCAGCTGATTCCTGTGGAATAAATGCATTGTTGTCCTTTTACCATTGCAAAATGTAAATCCAATTTACAGACTGATAAATGTCAGGTATCTCATTGTTAAAAATACAAAAATGACACAAAGATACCAGCTGCCTAAAAATTATGAAATGGAACACAAACTTATTTTTAAAAAGTATTTAAATGAGTAACTCATTCAGGTATCATATTTAAGCCAAGATATTTTTAGATTCTACAAAGAATACTTACACAGTTTTCATCCTTGTGTCAGAAGTAGTACTAAGTCAGGGTGGTTCCACTATCTTAATTCACTGTGTGGCCAACAAAAGGAAGTGGGACAGGAGGAGAGAATGGAGCAGGAGCCAACCCATAATGCAGAAGAAATAACACAGGTGGGAGTGAATGGGATACTAAGCCACGTAAATGTGATGTATCTTTAAGCCATTGCAATGGTGAAAACAGAGCCCTTTGTATCAATTCAATTCTCCTTTATCCAGAATCTATGAAAACAGAATTGTGTAGTTCAGTGAAAGGCTAGATCTTCAAGACTTCACAGCACCTTAATATCAGGGGTAGGGAGGTATTTCCCACACATTTTTAGTATTTAACTGCATTTTATTTTCAAATAAGGTGACAGTCTTACTGAATATTATATTGTTAGCTTACTGACAATTTTCTAACATTCACAACACTTCGTTCCTTAATTACACAAACTAAATGAGAGTTTAGATGATCACATATCATTAAATTAGTTGGGGAAAACTCTTTTAGAAAAAAGCTCTTAGGACTAGTTTCTCCATCAGACTGCCCTCTGCTAATAGCAGGGGCTCCTCAATGGGGAAGCTGCATTCCTCAGTCTTTCTTACTGAGGTTTAGATACCACAGAGGTAAAATAAAAGTCTTTATTCCTAAACTGAGAGGCCTTCTGTCCTTTCTCTGATAGTTTAGGGATTCTTTTACTCTTCCTTTTCATTGGTGTGAAGCAGGCATTCATGCAATATGGGTAAAGGTTATGGAAAAGGAAATTAGAGAAATCCTCAGTTCCCATTTGACTGCTTGGCTCCTAGAAACTGATAGCTCAGTTTGGCTCAGTTTGTGCTTCTGCACTGTGTTTTACTTGGTGCTTTTACATCCATCTAGAATTCTTCCAGCACGCACCCAGTCAAAGAGTTTCCATCTGGGGTTAATTTGTGATTTTAAATAATTTTATCTAACATATATGCATTTAGGAAAGAAATAAAATCTTAAGCAGAAATCGGTGGAAATTTTACAAATAAAATCAAGCACATAATAGTAGCTACTACCTTTAGGACTTATAATGCTTTAAAGCTAGTTATCAAATTAATCCAGAGGAAAACATTCCAGCATTAAGCATAATTGTGCCTATGCTGAACTGACTGAGGATCCACTATGTGAGTGGGATAAAAGGCAATACTGAGACAAAGGAACTACACTGAGACACAGAGATAGAATCTCTTCCCCAATATGTACATTGCAAAATATCTTGATACCCTCAAGATGTTCATATGGTTCACAATGCGCATAACCAACCTCAGCATATAGTTTATGCTGATCTCATAAATTAATAGTCATTAAGCTGAGAAAAAAAATGAACTGCGTATTATACTTTATGGTCACTTGACTCCTAGTTAATTATGTCTCATTAGAAATAAACCAAGATGTTAAAAAATAAAATAAAATAAACCAAAATGTTCAAGATTGTTTTTGGAAAACATGGAGTTGTCCAATATGAAATGAACCTATTGCTTGTGCAAAGCAAAATTAATAGTGAAGATTATTTGCCCTTCTTGTCCTCTCTCAAAGAGACCTACTCAAAAAATCCTAGAACGTTTCCATTTTCTATCAAAATGTATGTAAGGTATAGACTTTTCCAACCTTTACAATCTTGAGAATATTTTAATTTCAATAAAAATTTCATCCTATTTTGTGCGTATGAGCAAAAAATTAATTTGGACAGGAAGTGTGATACAAAGGAGAAACAATGAAGATTAACTGGTCAGTACTAAATTCTGTTTTCAAAACTAATATCCCAATAGCTACAGAAAAGCCAGGGTTTTCCGAAGATATTTTTCAAACTCAGAAGGAGAGAAACCTCTCATACTGATTCAGTCCATGAGTCAATGGGCAAAGCTTGGTCTCAGGGCTGTGGCCTTGATCTATATCCCCTCCCTCACTCCTGTCATGGTTAAACTGCCTCTCAGACTGATGGGAACCATCTAACCTTAGACATGCGTATTATTCCTGAAAGTCCAAAAAACAAGATTTTGATATAGTTACCATAACAATGATGTTTTCTTGATTAACAACCCTAGGAAATCCAAAAGTTTAATAGAAGCATCAAACACAAGCCCAACTGTAGCAAAAAGGATTCTTCTTTCTTCATCAGTTTGTTTTTAAAAGTAACATTTTATTTAGATGAATATCTGACCTTAAACTACTAAAATTATTTCAAGACTTCCCCTATCACAGCTAACAATAACAAGTATGGTACAAAATACGGAACACTAAGCCTGATTTCTTTCAATAATCTAACCTTGCTTTTCAACTGGGAAACCGGAGGCACAATTCTTAGGAGACACATTCACAGATTCAGAAACAAAAGCAATTTTAGCCTTAACTGCCAGAGCTGGGGTTTTTTCACAATACTTTCAAGAACTCATGCAGTTCTGAATTTCTTTAAACACAACTCTTGGTCTTTATAGAAGTAACACATCAAATGTCTTACTACATTCTGAAAAATTAAGGTAGGAAAAATGTATTCTACACATCTATTTACTTTTTAATATAAAACTTTTCTTCCAATACTGTTCAAAAATCCAGATTAATTTTATGGCATGGATAGCAAGTGGTCTCCATCTTCTCCAGGCTTCTAATTGGTATCTTGTGTTAAAGTTCTTCCCTGCCACAAAAAAACAGAAAACAATTCATTGGAAAAACAAAAATATCCTGAAATATATTTTTTCTTGTAATATATCACCAAGCTACATTTCTAAAATCACCAATATATTCTATATTTTTTCTTTGAAGGAAGATTTATCTGACTATGCTAAGTCAAAAAGCAAATAAACAAACAAATCCTTAGTAATACTTTTATTGAATACTAAAATCCATGTAATGCTTTTATTAAATACTAAATTAAATCCCTGAATATTTTCTTGGGCTTGGTGAATGAGAGCTCTGAGACTAAATGAAAACTGAAAATGCTATGTGAATTCTGCTTAAATGCTTTCAATATCATCTCCCTCTATGAGCAGCCCCCTTATGTAGTGTCTTGTACTCTTTCGTTCTCTTTTTCTTTGTTTGTTTGTCTGTCACGTGGGATTTTTTTTTTGTTTAAATCTTATTTGTTTCATGAATTGTTTCAATATTTTAATATAAGGTAGCTCATAAAAAAAAAACTAAGGCATGTAATCAATCTGCTTATTCCTAATTAGAATGAATCTTTTCTTTGAATTTTTAGTTTAGGAACACATCCAGCTGGGTGGCTCAGAGGGACTTAATAGGGTCATACAAAAGACAAAAATGTCATTCATATTCTTCCTGCTGAATACTGAACAGAGCCATACACCATTTTCTGGTAGAAGCTACAAAGATAAGTGGATGTTCTGGCAAAGGCAACTACTAGCATTGTTGCTCTGACAGCACTCCACAAAGCTGGCAATACCTCCTGGAAGCCAAATCAAATTTTTAGAGGCATCTCCACCAGGCTTATGGATTTTTAAAGCATCTTGCTCATTTTGTTAGATGGAACTCTGTTACTTCTACCAGAAAGGAAGGGATGATGAGGAAATGGGCTATCAGAGAAAGTGTTTGAAACAAAGGGGAGGAGGCTCTGTTCAGGGAGATAGGAGTTATCTTGACCCTTCATCAATTTCTTTTACAAACAGAAATGAATTGCTCTAGTAGAAGATGCCTGCATGAGGCCCATTCACCAGCAAACACTCTGTGGGAATGGCTGTAGGATCAAATATTAGCACTACATTGTAATTTCATCCACTACACTCGATTAATGTCCACAATCATCTTTTTAGAAGATAGTTTACTTTTGTAACCTAAGAATTGTTGTGGGCATTGGGAAAGAAAAAAAAGTGGTCACAGTGGTCACTTTCTAAAATAGATTATAAAAATAACCTAAAGTTCATTGTGCATCCTGGAGAACAAAGAAAAAAACTACAGATACTTGCTCAAAATGTATGATGATTAAACAAATCGATGAAGCTATAGCAAAGTTGATAGAGATGAGAGATACTCTTGATTAGGCCAATAATTCAAAATTACAGAACAGTATTTATGACTAATCAAATATTTTCATAGAAACCGTCTATGAGAAGTATTTTATATCACTGGATTATAGGTGAAATCCATGGTAACAAGAAAGAAACCATGACATAGTCCAGGAGTCTCATGGCCAAAACAGTGTCACAGTTTAAACTCTTCTCTTGCTCTCATTATCATCTTAAGTAAATCACTTTACTGCTTCAAGATTTTGTTTCCTTGTGTAAGAAACATTCAGTTTACAAAGCCACTATAAGGAATAAATGAGGTTATAGTAATACCTCAATTCATGAATCTTTTGGTTTGCAAACAATCCATTTCACAAACAAAAGCATTCAGCAAAATTCTGCTCCTTGCTCACAAATTCCTCACTGGTTACGAACATGACCATGTCCATCTTTCCCCCACAAGCACAAGTACAGCCATCTTCCTCAAAATTATAAAACAAACTAAGTTAATAAATAGAGGTACCACCATATCTGTGTGGTCAGTCATAAACTTCAAAGAAGTCAATAAATGTTGGGTGTCCCCACAGTCTGGGTATCACATGGACATGAATCACATGCTCATGCTGGTGGCACTACTGTAGGACAGGCTATTAGGACCATGTGTCGAAAACTGTGAAAATGCTTACATTTGATGCTCTCTCACAAAAGCTGCAAACTCAGGATCATTGGCATAGAGTTCCAAAATTCTCATTCTTTCTTGAATTTCCTTTAAAAAAATTTTAAAAAGAAGCCCCATTTTTTATTAGAACAACATCAATAGTCGTTTTAAAGACATTTTAACATCATAAGAAATTGTGAGTTTCTGAGGTATCCAAGGGAATGTCATAAGGAAAAATTGCTTTAACATTCTATATATACTGCTCTAGCTATTACATGCACTGCTCTAATGCCAACAGAGTTCTAAGAAAAAAAAGGAAGAAAAAAGAGCATATTTGTTAATAATGGAAAGAAGAATCACTGAATGGAAAATAAATTACAGCTCAAAATTGAATAACCTCTGCGTAACACACTGAGAGACATCATGAGGTAAAAAGTAATCATGAAATATTTTTCATCTTCTCTTGAGTCACCTGCATACACACACACACACACACACACACACACACACACAAATGCACATGCATACACACATAGTAGCAGCATCAGATGCAGTACAATGTCAAAAATGCAAGGTTTTCTACCTCTTTGGAAAGGCCACTGCTCTCATACATCTGTCTGATTTCCTCTCTGCTCAGGCCACCGATCACTTCTTCGCTAGCAGAGCCACAGAAGGGATGCTGAGGATAGGGCTCCTCATATTGCTCACATCCAGCCATATGGCTGTCAAATGCAGGGTTGTGTTTTACAGCATTCTCCATGGATGAAAGGCTGTCAGGCTGCCTACTAAAGCCACAAAAAGATGTCATTGATTCAGCTTATTCTTTGGATGGTGATTACTTGGAAGATTACCTAGCGCAAGGTTTCTACTGGGAAAGGGAAGGAGAAAAATGGACACAAGCAGGAAGTGGCTGTGAAAAATATCCACATCAACCTCAAAACTTATTTATCAGGTATTATCACTTATTATCTTCTTACCTGTATTAAGGACTCTCTGGAATTTTTCCTTTTTTCATTCATATTAATTTCCCACAATGCCTCAATAAAGGTTAGTTGGGAATATATCTTCCAGTGGATAATTTTTCATTCAAAAAATTCATTTCTATCATTCCCAGAGGTATACATATCAAAAATCAATATGCAATTACATAGAGAAAAAAGGAACTTTTCTACATTATTGGGGGAAATGTAAACTAGTACAAACATTATGGAAATCAGCATAAAGATTTCTCAAAAAGCTAACTATAGAAATTAGTTCAACTCAGCTATTTCTCTGCTCTGGAATCTTTCCAAAAGGTTAATGATATAATGTTACAGTGATGCTTGCACACTCATGTTTAGGTCAGCACAATTCACAATAGCTAAATCTTAGAAGCAGTCTATATGTTCACTAGATCCATGAATAAAAGAAAGCATAGTATTTATATACAATGGAATACTACCCTGACATAAAGAAAGATGCAAGAGCTATTTGTAGAAAAACTGATGTATCTTGAGACTACAATGTTAAGTTAAATAAACCAGATACACAAGTTTAAATATCACATGGTTTCTCTTATATGAGCAATCCAAAATATAAACAAAGAGCAAAATAAAAAATAGCTAATAGAAAAATAGGAAGATAGATTTTTTTGTATATGGGAAGGGGACCAAAAGATGGAGAGGGAAAAGAGAGAAGAAAGAAAATGAAAAAAAAATTAGAGGTATTATGTAATCCTTACATCCTGAAAACATGCACTAATAAAAAATGAAAATGGAGGGGTGGATCCCTTTCTGCAGGTCCATGTAGGCCTCCCATGAGTTAGCTCGTGGTTCACTCAACCGTCTGGCAAGTCTTATCCACTCCAGGCAAATGTCTGTTCTTCTGTTCCACTAGACTGCTCCACAGGCAGAGCTAGTTTATTCCTCATCTACACTTCTTAGCATCCCATTCATTATGATGTTCGTGTCTCTTTCCAGTGTGACACTCCTCTACATATGTGGTCATGCTTTTACTCAACTTTACAACCCCCCCCCTTCCACCCACATCTGTGCCCAATGTTGGGTACACAGAATGTACTGAATGAATAAATAAACAGAGCATTTTATTCCACCCTTCTTTACCTTTCTCTCCTGACATGTGCATCTTGAAGAGTTTTGACAAGGAAGAAGATGATGATAGAACAGACAAAGAGAATTCCAACCACAGAGGCTATAGTGATGCCAATGACCAAAGGCTCAGATACAAACTCCTCACAGTGTTCACCTCGATACCACCAGTTCTCACCGACACGGCATCTGCAATAAGCAATCACCAAATCCAAAATCTGAATCACTGTGCTCAAAATGATAATGAACAGCAGAGCCTTCAGTGGAACTTGGGAAAGTAGAAATATTAATGCTGAACATTTGAAGCTTTATTAAAGACTTGAATATAGGGCTAAGGATGTAGTCAGTGATGGAACATTTGCCTAAGTATGCACAAAGCCCTGGGTCTGATAGCACTGGGGGGAAAAAATCTAGGTCTAGAGGTTAAATGAGCATATGACATGAGGCTGTGCATAATGCCTGACAGACCTGATAGATCCCCAATGGCTGTCTCTAAATTACTAAATAAAATTAAGTAGACTTAAATATTCCACTTAATCTCTTTATTTATAGATAACAGAAAAGAGGCACAAGAAGGCAAGTGAGTGGCATTGTGCTATACAGCTAGTCAATAACAGAGCTGGATCTAGAACACAGTTCTTCAGGCTCTTCACACCCTTTTACTGCGCCAAAGAAATCCTTGAAACCCTGAGGCCATGCACTGGTGTGAAAACCATCACCACAGAAGCAAGGAAGTCTGTGCTTTGCAGAATAATAACAGTTTCTCTGGATGCCAAGAAACTCTTAGTGTTCTAGCTAAATGTTTTACTTTTAACAAAAGGGTCTGGGTTATGTCCACATATGCAAACATTTACCAACTTTGACACACACAAATTGTCCTGCTATGTATATTACTCCAAAGTAGTTTTAGCATCTTCTCCTCTTACAGTCATGTATCTTTGTTTGTGGCTGGTTGGCAAGTTAATTTGTTTGGCTTCATTTAAGGAAGGTAGGCAGTAAACAGTGGTCAGACAAACCAAATCTGTACATCTGAAGTTTTTTCGCTAGCTCTATCCTTTAATAAATGGGTCTCAGGTATACTAAAAGGAAATGTACTTGTTATCAATTTGAGACTTTCAAATACTACTTGTTTTACATTATTTTGATTACTCAGTGGGACAGAAAGAAGCTCAAAGGTATTAAGAATATAATCAAGCAGAACAATGTCTGTTTTTGCCTTCAGATATAGTGTTAATCTTATGTCTAAAACTCATTTAAACACCAATGTCCTTATCATCACTACTGAAAACTATAACACAAAGGTCTCTAGTTGTGACAAATACTCTTAATAGTACATATTTAGATGTATTTTTAGCACAAAATAGCCAAGCGAAAAGGATATTCAGGCCTATTCAAATGACCCAGTTTTCACATCAGAATTAGATGGCCACTACCTATTGCCTATATAATAAATATAATGATTTCCCTAAAATTATAGGTATCAAGCCACTTTATTTAGAAGTATCTAAAAGGCAAAAATCTAAAATACAGCATACCTGCAAATGGCCCCATGCCCAGGCAAAATGTCACACTTCCCATCATTCAAGCAGAAGTCAGGCTGCAGGTCACAGAGACTCTGACAAGGCAATTCATCCACACTCTGGTACCCAGGGTAGCATCTGCACTGTGCTTCTCCACTCCAAGGGTTCACCAGACACTCAGAAAATTCATTGCAAGCCTGAAACTTGCAAGGGTTGGCTTCATCACCTTAAATTCCAAACAAATCAAAAAATGATGCAAGGAAAGGCCAAAAATTTGATTCATCTTAGACTTTATCAAATTTCTCTGAAACTCAAGGTCAAATCATGCAACCCTATGACCCCTGCAAGTCACTGCAGTTGTGTAAAAACATTAAAATCAATGTCATGAAACCATTTATCTAAATTAAAGAGTTTTCATTTACTATAAACTTTATGTTAGTATAGTCCATCCCAGTCGGTATACACCACCACATGCCTGCCCCACAAAGAGAACATAGGATGAGGAGAGAGGGTCTAGAGAACTGGTAAGGAGCCTCCGGGGAGGATATAGCCAAATAAGAGCAGCCTTAGATTAGTATAGATTTGTGGAAGCTTAAAGTTAGAAAAATAATCCATTCTAGTATCTCTTCAGATCGTGCACAATGGGATAAGGAAAAATGACCAAACAAAATTAACTAGGGCAATAGCCAGTCAAAAGTGATATAAGACATTAACCATGGATGAGTTTTCCTCACTGGTATGGTTCCCTCATACCATCTGCTGAATAGGAATCTGTGTATGGCCAATGGCAAACGGTGACATAAATGCTGAAAAAAGAGAAAATAGGTGGAAATGATCCACTGACTTGTTTGTTTTAAAACTGTAAAGTTTAACATGAAAACTAAAGCAAATTTTTAAAAACCCAGCATAGGCCCTTAGTTTCAAGAAAAAAATTAATGCAATAATTTTCCTTGTTGCTCTAGAGACTGAAGACAATTTTGGAAATGTCGGTGGCACATTTTGGAATTTAAAGAATCTCTAATGTTGGTCTCAATTAAGCAAACGTAGGATTAGGGAGATGTATCAGGTTACGTAGTAACCCTTGTAAATTCATGTCCACACAGAACCTCAGGATGTGACTTAATATGAAAATATTCTTTGCAGATGTAATTAGGAAGAAGGTCACACTAGATTGGAATGAGTCCTAATCTGAAGGTTGATAGCCTTATATGGTAGATGAAAGATACAGAGACATAAAAGAAGGGTATACTTAGACAGAGGTAAATGTTAGAATAACATGCAAAACAGTGTCAAAAATTGGCAGAAAATACCCAAACTAGGAAAAGGCGCACTAGGATTCTTCCCTAGACCTTGAGTGGAGCATGGCTGTCAGAGCTTTGATTTTGGATTCTCAGGAACATAACAGGATAAATTTCCAATGTTACAAGCTACCCAATTTATAACACCTTGTTAAAGCAGCCTTAGGAAATGCATACAGAGGATCACTGCAAGGATGCTCATAAAACAAGGAAATATGTACACGAATGTACTAAAGGATAGTTTCTAGAGTGTGCTTTCCTAAATCTTTACATTCTTGTAAAGAATCATTGTGTGGTTCTGTAATCAGAAAATAATCTAATCTTCACCAAGAAGTAAGGAACACAAGTGCACATATAGATATACTTCACTGATAGAAGTAAAATTTTCTTGGACACTGCATGTGAAAGTAAGTTAGGCAACATATAGGTCAGTCTTGCTCTAACTAACCTTGACATAAAACGAATATTTCATTTAAGGACCTTCAACCAAAAGTACATATATAATAGGAAAAATTCTATTTAAAATTTTTAAAACTTGGTGGTCACTCTGTGGGTGTGAGCAGATTTGTGTTAGGTTAACATACAAAGCTAAAAAGGCAGACATATATGTAAGACTGAAAATTCAGCCAATGAATCTGTATTTTCCATGGATAAAAAATACAGATACAGTCTTAGGGAGAAAATGGGCAAATGCTATCCCCTTTTGCTTCCACAGACCAAAGCTAATATTCTCATCACATAAATAAGACCGAGGTTTATAAGTCTGTTACCCATCCTTCGTGCTGGCTAAGAAGTAGACGGTCAGAAGAGCTTGCCTGTGGAAAAGTACCTTCATGAAGGAAAAAAAAGTAGACCTGGAGCTAAGTTTGGGATGAGAGACAGGGATCGAAATTGTAGAATGAATTACACACATTCTGGCTTTCCAAGAGCAGCTTAGGAGAAGAACTGACGGGCCAAGGAAAATGAGAGTGGAGAAAATATGAAAAAAGAGTCTGGAAAAAGGTTTTATGGCCACCGTAACATGGTAACTGAACATGTCCTGGAGAGAAGTGGGCCGGTGAGAGCTGACCTTGACAGAGTGGCTGAGAAATTTTAGGGATGTTTATGCCTAACAGTGATGTGTTTAAAATATGTGCTGTTCTTCTAAAAGGCCTCCCCCATTATCCTCACATCATCAGCAAATATCTGCTAGGATCAACTGCCTTGTATTAAAGGTGCTTTGGAAAAATTAAAAACCAAACTGATATCTATGTTCAGTTAACATTAAAAAAAATGACAAAGATTGAGACATTAGTGAAATTGAAAACTCAGCAGGAAAAAACTCAGTGCTACAGGTGGTCAAGAGATATTCAAATTCTCCTATAATGCCTCAAAGTGAGCACTGGGGTGATACCAATGCAGGGTTTACAGTGTGCAGGGAAGGGACTGGTGCCTGTTCATTTGAGCAGTGGAGGAAAAAGTGATCCTTCAAACCTGGTAACTTTGCACACAGCTGACAAGTGAGTGATGTAAAAAACTGAAACAAATACACTCATTTATTGTAAGATCTTTAAAAAGAAATATATCAGGGGCTGAAGAGGTATTTTAGTGTCTGTTTGCTTAGCTAGCACATGTGAGGCCTTGAATTTGATCCCTAAGACCAACAACAACAAAAAAGAGAGAGAATTGATGTTTTGTTTTGTTTTGTTTTGTTTTGTTTTGTTTTGTTTTGTTTTTTGAGACAGGGTCTTATTCTGGCCATAACTTACTACATAGCCCACGCTGGGCTCATACTTAGGGTGATCCTCCTGCCTCAGCCTTTCAAGTGCCAGGACTGCAGGCGTGTACCACCATGCCGGACTGAGAACTGATTTTTGTAAAAACTATATAAATCAAACTGTTTGCATTTTTAGAGTTAATAAAATGCTTTTCTACATATTATAGGCTTAATCCCTTTACTAGCCTCCCAAAATATAAAGGCCAGGTAATATTATTCCCAAATAATATGTGAGGGCCAAGATTCAGTGATAAAATAATTCATCTAAAGCTACACAAGTGATAAATGACAGAGGAAGACACAAGTAACCTGGCTTCCAAGCTGTAATTAATTTCTTCTTCCACTACATCACATGGTGAAGAATGTACCAACAGCCTCAGCAAACTCAAGTGGCAAGAGAGCAGATTATTGGGGATTAGCTAAATGATTTTCCTCACTTTCAATAAATAATGGTCCTTCAAGGAAATTTCAAAGGAAAGAATGTTTGCCTCTTACCCAGGTTGAAAAAAAAAAACAGAGCTGGTTTCAAACCAGTTTGAAAGTAAAAGGCATTGGAGAAATCTTGACTTAGATTTTCCATCTTACTTCTACTACAAACCACTGTCTTCTGGTATATGAAAGGGAAAACAAAATAGAATTTCAGGTTCCAACAGTATTCTCTGGACTCTTCTTCCAAATAAAAACAATGTTGTATGGTATGTATTCCCTGTATTTCTGAGTACTTTATGTGTTCAAAACATCATACTAAGTCTGGCTAGAAAGTGGTTAATACAATAGACATATTCTTAGTCCTTTTGGAAGGCTTAACTGGGAAAAGCAGACATTAAGCAACTATGCACATAAATTAACACTATAAATGGTTCCAACTCTGCAGGGATAAAGAATATGAGGCCATAAAATAGACTAACAAGCAAGACCCAATCTAAATTATGGGGGACCATTGAAAGTCTTAGGAAAGTGACGTGTGAACTGAGGCATAAAGGTGAGCAGGAATTAGCTAAGAGGGGAGTTTAGACACATAGAACATTGGTTCAAAGATATGTACAAAAGGCTTTAAGGTCACAAAAAGCTTCAGGTATGTAAGGCACTAAAAACAAGCTAGTTTGGATGCAACACAGTGAACAAATAAGTCAGTTTCAGTGGATGCTACTGGAGAAGAAATTGAGGACCAGGCCTCTGACTACTAAACCAATCAACTGCTGAAATACTTTAAGCAGCAAAGCAAAATAACCTGAGTAGTGAGTGGTTTAGGTTATTGCTGGAGGTACCATGGCTGGAGAACAGAGAGGAGAAGAAACAGAAAAGGAAGTAGGAAAATTGGTCTAACTGAGAAATAATAATGGTTTGGTTCAACTCACTCACCATTATCTCTCATTTCTTATCTGTTATGTCTCATCTTTTATTTCTTCCCGAGTATCATCCAGTGAAAGTATCTCTTCACTCACTGACTCCTAGTAAAACTAGCCTGTTTTTAGTTGCTTACACCTCACTTGAGGAGTAGACAATGAGTCTGAATTTGAGATATATTTGAATTAATATAAGCAGTAACTAGAAGTGTAGGGTAATGAAAACTATGGTATCAGAAATGACTGCCCAGGTTTCTAGTTTAACTGAGTAGATAAACCTTTGATTTATGGAAATGGAGAAGCTGAGAGAAGGAGTATATTTAACTGGAGAATGAAGAGATATAGAAAACAGTAGTTCACTCTTAAATATTTTAGGTTTAACATATATAGGCTACATTAGATACTTCATGAGAAGACCGACTAGTTAGATAAATGATTCAGGGGCTCAGCAGACAAGTTTGACCTACTTCCATGCAAAAATATTTAAGAGTGATGTTTACATAAAACTTGAAATAATGGGAATGAGCACAAAAACTTTAACACATATGCAGAAAAGAAGACAGTAAATTTTTTGGCCTTTTCATCATAGCAGCACATTTATAATAGCTACTAGCAAGTAGCCTATATATCCAACCGATATGCCAGAGCAGCACAATATAGTGATAAGCTTGAATCTTTTGTAGGAAAATAAATGTACCTGAAGATCATAATATTAAATGAAATATATCAGACATACAAGTTTAAATATCACATGATTTTGAAAAACCAAAAATATAAGGACAAGATAAAAGGTAGATAATAAGAAGTAAGAAGAAAATTTTTATTGAATGGGAAGAGGATTAAGAGATGGAGGGAGGGGAAGGGAGGGGAAGGAAATGGAATTAAAAAATAAAAATTGAGATGTTATGTACATGGACCAATCCCCCACAAAGACTGTAATCATTTTGTAATGCAGATAAGCATTAACATAAAAAACAAACTAAAAAAGTAAACAAAAAATAAAGTTACATCAAGAATAGATCCAATGGATGGATAAAATGGAAATCCTAGTAGGATGTGTATAAAAAGGAAGGAGGTGAACCAATAAAGATAATATTTGTGAACAACCCTATGAAAAAATAATGATACTGATGTGTTTGAAAGAAATATTTTACTAATTATCAAGATGTAAAAAATTGATCTGACATTCTACTCTTTTTTCCTAGAAGTATTAAATTTACTTTGAATCAATAAAAAAGAAAACACACAAGAATAGTCACTGGATTTTTCTAAGAAACCACTATTTAAGGTAATATCATTACCTGATTCTACATCAAGAGAGTATTTATCAATAGCCAAGTTCATGGTCTGGTAAGCAGTGGTACAAAAGTTTTCTAAAATCATGTATACGGCATTGTTGACATCAGGAGGAATAGATTTCGCAAACTTCATTCTGCTGTTCACCACAATACTGCCATTTCTGAAGTTCAAAATTTCCAAATTCTGGAATCCTGTGAGATTTGACTGAAGATAGGGAACCAACTGCAATATATGAAAAGTGATGAGAAAGTTTTTCATTTTGTTCAATACATGTCAAAAGACAAAGAAACCAGGATGAACTCCTTGCCCATTTTTTCTATTTACATTCTATCTACATTCACACAGGCTGCAGATCTGGTTTCACATTTTTAAAATCCAATAAACTGAGAATGATATGAGGCCATAAATTAAAAATGTTATAAGATGTTGATCATGTCATGAGAATACTACGACATTTGGGAAGTCTATGGAACTCACACATTGTTTTTAAAATCTAGGAAATTTTCTTTTCTTCATTAACAGATTACAGCAGTAGAGGAACAAATCTTCACAGATTTGTTCTCACAATAAGTTTGAGCTTTTATGTTTTATTTTAGGCACAGAATTCATGAAATTTGATCTTCAGTATCTAAGCTATTCACATTACCCTTATGCCACATTTGTGTTTTCCATTTCTTGAATCCACCAGTTCATTGTTCTCCTCCTAACACCCAAGTCATGATACTATCTCTCTGTATGGCAAGAAACAAATGCACACAATAGATCACACTTTCCTGGACTCAGTCTTGGTGTGCTTGGTTAGGCTAGAGGAGTCATATATGATTATTCATCCTCATGTTTCAATTTTGAGCTTACCAATTCTAAGAATCTTTGCTCCAAGGCTTTATATTCCAAAGAGTTCCTATTAAATAGATCTTCTGAAAACATCATGTTTGTCACTCGGAGGCTGAAGAAAACTACTAAAGCTCCTTCAATCCGGGCGTGACCCAAGTCATCTCCTTTTGTGGGTTGAGCCAAAATAGCCATCTCTGTGGAATGAAAACTTGTAAACATTTCCACATAACTACCAGCCTTGCCATTTTGCTCTTGGATCAGCTCAGGCTGATAGTAATCTGTGCCTATCCGGTCCAGTTCTAATGAAATATCCTGCACGCCCATAATTACTTCATCCTCCAGAAAGGTGGAGCTTGTGGTTGGAGGCAATTTGGTGGACTGTGCCATGGAAGTTTTCAACCAGAGTCCATCACTACTCTGTGGCGTACTTGCCAATGAGTCTCTGGGTGATATCCCTTGGGAAGAAGTCCTTGCTGAAGCTATAGCTGATTCTGGGAATATGGTCCACACAGGCTGCAGATCTGGTTTCACTGATGAACTCTTGCTGTCAGACCATTCATGGCTAGATGATTCTGTAGTTTGGTCTACATCCTTGATCAGAAAGGTATTCGTTTCATCTGTTATAACAGAAGAAGCAGCCGTCAGTAGAAACGGTGCTTTGGTAACTGAATGGTAATCAACATTAGGTATCTCTGAAGTGTGCTTGGGAAAGGTTAGAGATGTGGAATGAATTACAGACACTGCAAAGATGGGCACAGTAGGTTTAACAAGGGACTCTTCCACTACAAAGCTTGTGGATTTCTCATCATGCTTATATTTTGAATGCTCAATAGTTGGGTCTGTGTAATCTATTTTGCTCTCTACAACAACTTTCTCATCTATACCCTCAGTTGGCAAAAGTGAATCCTCATCTTCAAGCCATGACCTAGACAGTGGTTCAGTGCTCTTCTTTAATGAAATCTCACTCCATGGCCAAGAAATCAAATCCACCTTTTGTCCAGACCCAGAACCTAAACCACTCTCAAATATGAACTCCTTTTCTATGGATGTATCTAGAAACAAATGGCTTGCTTCTAACTGGTCTTTGACTTCAGAGGCCAAGGAGTCAGAGCTAAAAGGTGAAGTTACTTCTTTAGCAAGAAGATCTAAGTTAACAGAAGTGATCATATCTGGTGAAGATGTCAGGGACACACCAGAGTTTTCTACGGGTGGTACTGTTTGTTTTGGCACAGGTTGAATGAATGAACTTGAAGGCAATGGATCAACAGAAAAAAAATCTTCTGGCTCTTCAACATTGGATAATCCTAAAAATAAAGTTTTACATTCATTAATCTACAAAGTTGAAAAAATATATTCTTATTATTACAATAAAATCAGTTACTTATTTTTTCTATTAGGTTAGGAATGTTGATGACTTTTATATGAAGCAAACAACAAGATATGATAATGTGTTTGTAATGTGAGATAATCACATGTGAATGTAGATTCCTCCATCTCTGAGGATAAAACTTTGATTTAATCTTCAAACATCTGATATTTGTATCCACAAAATTATCTATCTGCTGATAGCCATGCTGACAACAAAGATTAACTCCAATGGAAACAGAGAAAAATTTTCCTGGAAATTCAGTTTCTCTCTTATGTTTATTGGCTATCACCCTTCAGATTCATTCCATTTTCAAAATTTGTTCATCTTCCTCTTTCATGTTAATGTTTCATCACTATGTCACATATTTTTCCTTTCCTCTACCACATGTAGAAGATCATCTATTTTATTTTCATTTATTTATCTATTTTGAGTCCGATCTAGTTTAGGATCTTCCCTTCTCAATACAGCCCTAACCTGAAATCTTTAATATTAGCCCCCACAGTTAACACTATAGAAGGTAATCTTTGAGGCCATTTGTTTACCACTCAAATATTCGAGCAAATAATATTAGTAGTGGTAATAATTTAATTTAATTATATACTTCAAGACGACTGTCAAAATATCTATTAATTTGCTTCTATTTTGCCACAAGTTCATTTCTTTCTCTCCAGTTTGAACTATCCCATCTTATTAACTAAATCTGATTGTCTCCTCTCTCACATTCTCCCTAATGAATGCCACTGGTTTTCTCTGCACCATAGCCTCTTTCTCTCTTTAAAATCCCTTTCATCTGATATAGTAAAGATGTATGAAAAAATTATTAAAGCTCCTCACCATTTTCTAATAAGTAAGATCCGGAAGTCCTCCCCTCAGAAGCCATAGGCAAGCCGGTCTGAAACACTGCTGGGGTGACAGGATGAAGAGTCAAGCTGCTAACCCCTAAATCCTCTGGGGAAGAACTTAGGACCACCTCTGAGGGAAAAGCTAGTTTAGGTGTAGACACTACATCAGCCAAAGGACTTTCTGGCCAGAGTTCCCTGTCTGTGGTTGATGAAGGACCAGAGCTGAAATCAAGCGGTGAAATATTGCTGGTGGCGGGTTCATCTGCTGAGGGCCACTCGCCTTGAAGGGTACTATCCTAGGGGAAGAAAAAGACTAAATCATATCACAGATAAAAGAAGCACATAAAATAGCACATATCTATCCCTATGCCCAAATTTTCTAGGGACAGGAGACGCACCGAGTGAGGAGGGACAAGGGCTCTAGAATCAGGCAGATCGGTACCCACCTTCCAATTTAGTCACTTACTACAGTAGCCGAGAAATCTAGAGAAAAACTATGTAAACTCTCAGAATTCACCTGTGGAAGGGGCACAGAGAAGCTAACATTTAAAAGACACTAAACAGTGAATTTTCAGAGGAAATAATTGTTTCTTTTGCTTTTGAAGATCCATTTCCCTCCATCTTGGGGTTTAAATGATTTTAAATGAAAGTTACTAATATTTTCATTGCCTAAGACCTAAGCACACTGCCCACAGCAGGAATATCAGCACTTTTATTAATAACTCTGAAAGATATTTAACAAAATAATGTCCTCCACTTTGATCAAAATTATTGCCATATTAAAAGTGATCTAATCTCACGTAAACAGCCTGCCCTGTGAAACGGCATTCAAAATACAATTTTAAAAACAACAACAACACTTGAGAGGCTGAGGCAGGAGGATCGCCATGGGTTTAAGGCCAGCCTGGATTACATAGTGAGTCAAAGTACAATTTTATTTTTCTAGGGTTTTTTTTTTCCTAGTGAAACAATAATTTTAATGATTAGTTTCAGGAACACAGAAGTGTAAACACATTTCTTGAAGATGTTAATTATCTAGTCTTACGAAGACTAGTCTATCTAAAAAAAGTTTAATGAGGATGACAATAGGTAAAGTGACCATGGTAATTGGTAGGAGTTTATATACTTTATTCTATGTGTGGTATTAAACTGGAGTCCAACAACTTGAATCTAATTAAGTAAAATCTACTGTATGAGAGAAAAATGCACTTATGTAAAGAGCAAGCTGAAGGTTATCTTCAAATAAGACACAATTACAAATGAGCTGTGATGAAAGAGACAGATTTCAGGATTAGAAATTAATTCTTTCTTGGGGAATCCACCATCAAAAGTGAACCTGAGAACAGAGAGAATTAGCTCATGAGTCAAGTCAATAAAGGTGATGTAATCAAAGAGATACCACCTGGCACTCATCCAGCAAACTCCAGTGTCTAAAGAGAATGGAGTCACCAGGTGCAGACTTAACCTCACATAATCACATGCAGTGGACCCAGCTGCTAACTGCTGACTTGGGCTTGTGCACTTCTGCACAGTCTCCTAGGAAAGAGACAACAAAACTGCTTTATATTTCTGTCTACAGAGTTTTCATCACTCGAGGTCTTTTAGAATGGGCCAGATGGAGAGCAAGAGTTCAGTTCAGGTAAATGAGAAGACATCAAACTGTAGTCTAGAATATGAAATTGACAATAATGAGTAAAAAATATCATTGGTCTTGCCAAAGGCTTTACGAAGCCACTTTCTGGTCTACAAAAATCTTGTTAGGGAATGAGGCCAAGCCTACACACACGTGTGAGACGTGAACATTAAAAGTTTTAGAACTAGAAAGACTTCTGAGAATCTAGTCCAATCACATCAGTTTGTTGTTGTTGTTGTTATTGTTGTTGTTATTTTGAGATAAGATTTCACTCTGTAGTTGAGGCTGACCTTGACTCACTATGTAATCCAGGCTGGCCTTGCACCCATAGCGATCCTCCTGCCTCAGCCCCTCAAGTGCTGGAATCAGGGCAACCCCCACGACTACACCTAGCTGCAGTCACATATATTAAACGTTAAGAAATGAAGTTCATTGGAGTAAAATGCCCAAGGCCACAAAAAACAGAAAAACTCAGAATTAGAAGCTGAGCCTCTGGATTTCCTTGTCCTAGTGTTTTCCTGCACTATACCAGGCTATGTGGTCAGAGGTCTCTCCAAGTACATATAACCAGGGAGGGAAAGAATTCTTAGAGGGGAAACCAAACAAAGCTTGGCAGTCTATACTCCTCAGGTTAGCATTTCCACAGATCTCTAAGACCCAACTGAACACAGAGGGGAAGGAGAGAAGGAGGATACTTTTTAATATTTAAATGTCTACTATGGAATAGGAAGATTACACAGAAAGTTCCATTCTCTTTTCTTTTTCTAGTATTTAAAATCATATATATATATATACTTTCATATATATCGCACTTTATATATATTATATATAGTATACATATTCACTAGAGAGAGAGAGAGAGAGAGAGAGGAAATTATAAGGCCATTTGTTCAATACCAAATTCTGTTCTTCAAAGAAAATAGGGCAGTGGTACCATATCAGGGAATTAATGTTTTCCATTCTAATTTTCTAAAACTACTTATGTCCTCTGAATCACCTTATTTGTTTAGAAGCCTACCAGACTGGAAACTTGTGGTAAGTGGGGCCCCACCTTATACATCTTTGTTTCCCCAGCACTTGGCGTATGAAAACAAAAATAAAACATAGTCAACCGAAGGAACACCAAATGAGTGAACTCTGCTGTCAACATTCCTTTAACCTCTTTTCTCCAATATAGAACTCAGTGAAAAGATTATCATGAGTGATTCCACATTTCAAAATTGAGTTGCTCTGTAACTAAGCAGAAAAAATGGCTTCAGAAACCACGTTTAAGTGAATTCAGGAAGGCCTTCTAAATTTTCATCACTGGAAAAAAGCCAAGGAACAAAACTTTCAAGCAGCTGATATGAGATGAAAAGAAATCTAAAGAGCCTACAAAGAGTTAGGAGTGGAGAGAGAAGGACGCTCCCCTCCTGTGTCTGTGACAGAGTCCTCCACTCGCTGTAACCACGGAGGTCCCTAGCACTGTGGCTGCAAGTGTCATCTTTGTTGCTTTAACTGCCCTTGAGAAAGTCATTTTCTTTTCTAGTGGATATTTCCCTGTAAGTGAAATGGAAAGTAAAAATGCAATGGCGAAAGACAAATGCTCAGTAGGGTTGAGGGGTAAAAACAAACATGGAAATTCATTCGATGCTGTTTATATGCACGTGGGAATGTTTTCAATCCAGTTTGAAAGGAAGCTTGAAAGTCCCTTTCATTTGATAGCTAGTCAGTACTTGTGCTCTTCTTTCCCTCTCTTCCATGCACACACAATTCTAAACTTTCTTCAGTACATTCTTCAATATAATTATTGTTCTTTCAGTAAAAATATATGTACTGTCTGTACTATACCAGTGTAACTCAAATCATAATCTTGACTTTTTTATTATATTCTAAAAACTGTTTCTTGGTAACATGAAAAACAACTTGCTGGGCACTTGTAACTTAATTTTCATCAAACAAATATGAGTAAGTTTTCTATTATGTGTGGTCTGGCAATGTAGACTTCGTTTAACCACTACGGAAGGTTTAAATTTTCTGAACCAACAGCTGCTACTCATGAGTTGACAACTATGAGTAATGTTCCAGAGGTGATGCAAGGAAATATTTGAAATAGGAACAGCTCGGGAAATTTACGATGCCAAAGTAAGCAGGTGAGGAAACACAGGGCAGAGCACAAGTGACTGATTCTAGGCATAAGACACAGACACATTCAAGAATAAATGGTGGTGCTACCTGAAGACTGGAACTTTGGGTGTTCCAAACCAGATCTTCACTTTGGGGAAGCAAAACTCCTCTCACTGAAAAGAGAACAGCGTTAAAGGAAATTTTTTAGCTAAGACACAGCTGAATTTGAGGTTCAGAGATAACCAAAAACAAGCTATTTCTCTTTGCTAGACTAGATGTTAGCAGAATATCTGAGGTACACTTGCCTGGAAAATGTTAGTGTTGTTCAGTTATTTTACTTATATTAGTACAACCTGATGAAACTTTAAGAATCCAGCATAAAACAAAGATTTTTAAAAGCTTCTTATAGTTACATTTAGGATACTCCTATTTTATTTCTTTTTCTCTCCCAAGTCAATTTTCACACTTTTTCCAGATTCCTATCAAATAGTTTCAAAATGATTCTTTTTCATTTTAAATAAAAAAGTAAAAATCAATAACTTTAAACTTTTGATATGCAAGAATAGTTTTTTAAAAATGCAAAATGATTGTTATTTTAGGAGACAACATCTTTGAAAAATAAGCTAGGCACAAATACCTTCATCACTGCAATAATATTAAATGCCAGTTAAAAAGTATATTAAACAATTTAATTCAGCAAAGATTCACTGAAATTTTGGTTGTTACCACGGACTTTGCCCACATGAAATTATAAATGCTAATAAAACAAAATTTCTCTTAGGAAGCATTGCCTGTGTCAGATAAATAAACACAAATTGGAAAATATATAATAATGTGAGGGGCACATATAATCTATATAACACAGACAAAGGAATAATTACTTTTGCCTGAAGTGGAGGAAGAATCAATAAAAGATACAAAGAAGAGATCGCCAAAAATGTGACCTAGGGAATGCTTCTAACATCGAAGCAGAAGCTATTCACCTTTTCCCTCTAAACTGATATACAGGAATCAAGCAAAATTCAAAAATTTTCTCATATATTTTCTAAAACTCTTTCCAACTGTGTGTTTCAATATTTTCTCTTCTATAGAAATTAAGCTCTGCAAAGACAAAGATGAACATATCTTTTGAGAATAATGATCAGGTTACCTAGAAAGCTCTAGCCCCATTCAGAACTCTGAAGCTGAAATGACGATAGAAATGTACTTTAGGAACAAAATTCTGAATAATTAATACATACATTTAAGGAGAACTCAAGCCACAACTAGCATAATCAGTATTGGATATCTTAAAGTTTTTGTTGAACTTGGTTATAAATTCTAAGAGTTGCTGACCTCTTTTTTGGGAAACCTTTTAGGAAGTACTTCTACCTCTAGGCTCCATGTAAAAGGGAAGATCTTGCAGTGATATTTATGAATGTAGTTTCCTAAACAACCCCACTTTGCTACCATATACATTAATCTTCATGGCATTTTCTGTCACTATGGCTACTGATCCTGGTGCTTGCATACTGTGCTCAGTTTTATTTGCTTTGCTTTTGTTCTCTTTGAGACAAGGTTTTGCAACACAGTTCAGGCTGTAGCTGGGCTGACCTCAAACTCAGCAATCCTCCTGCCTCAGCCTCCCTAGTGCTGGGATTATAGACATGTGCCACCACACCTGGCTCCTCATGCTGTCTCACTTTAAGATCTCTTAGGTTTTCACTACTTAACCATATCTTTTCTGTGCTTGATCCCAATATCAAATTCCTAAAGTCTTCTACCCATAAGCTGCCCATGGTCAGCCCCAAGTTTCAGATGGCAAGCTTCTTCTCTGCTCACCATTTTATCTGGTCCAAATATTCCAGATTCAACAAAGACAAAGGAGTATTATGAGGATGCAAGCCTGAGATAACCACCATGCTCCAAAGTACAAATGATCTCTGTTTTAGAACCGACAGCTTTATATCACTAACATCCACAAACATCTTAAAGTCCAGTGTCCAACATAAAAAGTTAAGACCACTTTGTGGCTCTGTCTCAAAATAGTGTCACATTAAAGAAACATCGGCCCACCAGAAAAAAATAGTTGAAAAGCAATATGAAGTATTACCTAAGCCTAATATTAGCAAATAAGGGATCATTTCACACACAATCAAATTTTTCTTTCTTCTTTGATTGCTTGTCTCTCTAACACACAACATGTATACATGTATGCACACATGCACATGAACATACATACTACACACATCATACTACTGCCTTGAAAAAGATTTTCTTACCTCTCTAAAACCTGTTTCTCCAAACTCTATCCCTCACAAAATCCTGTTTCCCTAAGTAGCTCTCTCTCTCTCTTACCTTATAAATCTATTCTATTCTCTTCCACCAATAACTTTTTGCCTTTCTTAGGTAAATCCAACAAACTTCTCTAGCTTCTCCAGTATCTATTTTTGTTTGCTTACCTATGTATCTATACACACTCACACTCACATACACAGGCTTATGTCATAGCTGCCTGAAAGACATTAAATGAACCTAGGCAAGCTTTGATACTGAACATCTAAGCTTTTACATATTGAGTTACGATCTACTCAATACAGAAACAAAACAAAATACCTAACTTACGTATTTACCTTTGTAATATTATACTTGAGTATTAGCCATTCACAACAGCTGAGCACCCTAAACCAGGTCAAAGAGGGCAAAAGCCAGGCTAACCAATTAATCCATATCCTCCATATCTTTAGCCTCTTTTGCATTTTCTTCCATGACTTTCCATTTTCTATCTGAAATATTGTTCAGCCAGGAGATGCTCCAGAGTCTTACAGGACCTGTTCTTCTAATTCTAGGAACTGCCTAAATATTGAGTTATCCTTTGCTCAACTACACAAATTAATTTGTATACAGATTTTCTTTTAATGAAGGATGGGATCTCTTCTCTCCTAAAAATGTGTGAGAGAAGCTGGCCATGGGGACACATATCTGTAATTCCAGCACTTAGTAGCTGTGGTAGGAGGTAAAAATTGAAACACCATCTCAGAAAACAAGCAATGACAAAATGTATGAGAAATAAAGAGGTTGTAAAATATAGCCTGTCTAGCATGGATTTTTCTCTTTGGCAACTGGTATTTCTCCCATACTGAGAGATAAAATATTCTCTGCTGGACATTTTAAAAGCTAAGCAACCAAAGGGGGATGAAATTGTGGAGAAACAAAAAAAGTAGCAGTAAATTAACAGGCTCCACATCCTTGATGAGTTAAGGTGTCATGTCCTAGCAGCCCAACTCTAAGCAATCTTTAGTCTCAGGTTAATAAGGCCATGTTTCAGCCTCCAAACTCAGGGGTGTCATCCTCTCCTTGATGATATGAGATCTACCGTTCATTATGAATCATAGCTGGATTTCTACAGTTTAATTCAGAATTAGTATTGAATTCTCCCCAGCATCCAGTTCTGTGATCAAAAACTTCCAAAAGCTTTTCTGAGTTGCTCTTTCTCTTCTATGCTTGCCTTCTAAGCCTTGACCGCCTGAATTTGTGCTAGACTTCATATCTTAGTTATCTTACAGCATGACAGACTGTTTCAGTTCACACTTTCAGGTCTGACTTTCCTTTTCCTTATACTTTTTTCTGACTTGTCCAAATAGTTCTAAATGTCATGCTATTCTCCACTTTCCCAATCTGTCTACAAATAAACTAAACTATTCAAAATCACTTCATGGTAAAAGTTCCATATATAACACAATGACTCTTGTCTCATATAGTCTCAAAATACTCTGAAAGACACATAATTAGACAAATTATTTTTCACCAGAACATACTGGAAAAGAATCTAAAATTGTTTTTAAAAAAACTTCTATGACATCAATCAAACTCACCATTGATAAGCTGAAGAGATTCAGGATCTGGATTCAAGGAGGAATTTCCTACCAAGAGATTCTGGTGCAAGGTCTCAGCAATATAATCTCTGAAGTTACCAATGGTATAAACAGCTGTGGGCTTATCATCCAGTTCCACAAGACCATGGTTTTCTACTTTGTTGGAATGAAGGCTAATTAGGTCCCAGGTGGTATTGCTGATTGCTTCTCCATTGAAGGTAACTTCATAATGAACATCTATACCACTGTGGATGAAAAAAAGAACAGGGTAGGCCCAGCTAAGGAAGCACAACTAAAGAAGTTTTAGTCCATAAAGAACAAGCAGACCTAGCGAGAGAGATTCAAAGGGCATGGGTTCCACCAACATTCTCTACAAATTTGGGGGAAATTTTTGCCATCCCTGTCTTGCAAAGAATGGGATATGAAAGTTCCAAGAAGAGGATGAGAATCCTAAGGAAGCCTGAGAAATTAATGAACCTCGTGTCCCTCCCTCAAAGCCAATTCCTTTCTGTTAACTATCATCATTCTTCCCTGTATTCCTATTAGCCTGTCTCCTTGATTCTTCTAAAGGAAAGCCTTTCTCACCCCTCCCAACAATGACAAGTCTTCTCTTATTTGTTTATTGTTGTTGTTGGAAAAAACATGTACTAAACCAGAGTTTATGGTGGAAACCAGACATACAAGCTTAAATATCACATAGTTTCTCTTACTGAGAAACTCAACATACAAATAAAACATAAAGTGTAGATGATAGGACAAAAGAGAGAAAAAAAGGTTTTTGCAATCCATCATGGACAGTGTATCTAAAAGTGCACTTCAATTTGGTATACCTGTCTTGTGTGTTTTATATATCTTTCGGCATATTAGTCTGCTTGTTAATCTAAATATACAATAATTAACTTAATTTTTTATTTGCTTTGGTTTTTTGGCTTTTGAGTATTTTGGGTCTTTTGAGACACATTCTTGCCATGTATCTCAGGCTGGACTTAAACTCACTATGTAGCTGAGGCTGGCTTTGAATTCTACTGTTCTCCTGCCACGGCCTCCCAAGTACTGTGATTACAGGCATGCACCACACACCCAGCAATAATTAATTTTATAATGACTCGTAAGATAAATGAGTCTGGGACTGGCAATAAATAAACAAATAAATAGGGTGGAGGGAAAGAGAAAAGGAATCAAGAAGTTTTATGTACATGTGCCAATTCCACACAATGAATAAAATCATGTACTAATAAGAATTAAATATGAAATAATAAGAATTTTTAAAATAAGAATTTAAAATTATGTGTTAATAAGAATTTTTAAAATAGTAATTTGGAGAAATAACATCAGGGTACAAATTTTAAAGCAAATAGGAACATTCCTCTTAGAATATTCCTGTGATGGAGAACCTTTTAGAGCTTTCAGTAATAACAGCTTGCTGCAGCACTGTCCTAGACTCTCACCTAGATTTTTCTAACTAAAAGGTATAAGGGCTTATGACACAGGCATTCTGAGTGATTTCATGTCCTTTAATTTTTCAAATAACCTGGGTGAAAAGTTTTTATCATCTCCATAATATTGTTGATGAAACTTAGCTTTAATGATGTTAAGATTCTTTAAATTTCATAATAAGGATATAGTAACATCACGATTTAAACACAGATATATCTCACTCTAGCACCTGCATTCTAAACTGTAGTACTATGCCACACTCTCATTAGCTTTAACTAAATATAATCATAAAAAGGTCATTATGGGCTTCTAGCCTATCTCTGCATAAGGCCATCACAGGCAGTAGCCTAGAAGCCATATCAATAACCCTCAAAAAAAAAGGGAGAGCACGACCTTCCAGAGATAAATCATTCAAGACAGATGTGCAATAGAAGCAATCTGGTATATCAGACATCCCGTAGCAGCAAAATGATTTCCAAAACAAAGCATAAAAAGAGATTAAGTGCATCTTTCTCTGACCTTACTTATGTATTCTTATATATTCTTGATTATAGCCTTCACTGTTTGGTTAAAAAGTATTAATAATGGTAATAATAATAATATAACAAGACTGCTTCACTTCCCTTGAGTTTCTATCCCCAAGGCTCAGCTTGATACCTAGCACAGAGAGGTATCCAGTGCCCACTGGGTGAACAGAAACCTATACTTGTCTACAAGTACAGATATATCTAAAGAAAACTACAGATATATCTAAAGAAAAAGTATGGTGCTGCACTCCCATGACCCCAGCTACTCAGGAGGCTAAGGCAAGAAGACTGCAAGTTTGAGGGCATTCTATAACACTCAGCAATACCCTGCCTCAAAGTAAAAAATTAAAAGCTAAGCTAGCGCTCCCTGGGGTCAAGCCCTAATATGCCTACACACACACACACACACACACACACACACACACACACACACACACTTGTATCAACAAAATGAAGTTAGCGTTCAATTTAGGAAATAAAGAGTTGTCAATAACTGATGTCACTGTTTAATGAAAAGCTTCTGATCAGTGTATTGGGGCTTCTTTTTAAGATACATCTCTAGATTGGAAACCAATAAAAGCCATCACGGCTTGATGATACTGGCCATTAAGGTCCTCTGACTTCCTCTTCTTGACTTCAACTTGTAGAGGAAACTTTTTATTATAATTCCATACAGACTTTACTTTCAGAAGACAATGCAAGAGCCAACCAATGTGTAACTGGACAGCTGGAGATGCAGTTGTTCTTTTAAATACTTTAATGGAAATTATAGCAAATTTATTGTTTTTTGTGGTTAGAGAAACATGAACTGATTTTGAGACCTTTCTTCCTGGGAGCATGGGACTGGTTTGGAACAGTTCTAACCTGCATGGCACTGTAGGAAATGCCATGAAATAACACCCCACCTGCTGAATAAATAGCCAGATCTCTCTAACGTTCCTGTCTCCATTACCATAGAAGGATTTTATTTCTTGTGTTTCCTTTTCAGCAGTGAGTAGAAATGCTGAATCATTTCAATGCTAATTTCCTCCCATATATGATAAGCTAGCTGCCTCTGTTAATGGGGTCATTTAAGACTCTTAAAAGTGGTAGCTACGAACTTTGATGTCTATGTAATAAAAAACACCTACTGCCACCTAGAAGTTCCCTCAGTCCTTAAACAACTAAAGCCCTAAATTTCACACATCAAAACATGTTAATCCTTGAATAATTTCCCATCTTTCTTTATAAGGAAAGACATTCAATAAAATGCTAAAATAACAGTGATGTTTCTAAGGTAGAATAAAACAGTAAGAGAGACACCTGCTGGTCAGAATTCGGCACATCATACTCCGTTGCTTTTCAGGAGCCTTCCATCGTCCTGAGGTACTCTGGCTACATGTATTGCCATCACTGGATCTTTGCACATTTGTTTCCTTCTGTTACCTCCCACCCTATGGACGCTACACACACACACGCACACGCACACACACACACACACACACAACCACACACGCCTTTTTTCAACTAATTATTTCTTTTTTGTCTCGGTTCAGATATCACCTCCAGAGGGAAGTTCTTTCAAACACTAAAGTTATGGATTCATGGTCATACTTTCTCTCTCCTTCCAACTGTATAGGCACAATTATTATTAAGCTTGGTGGCTCAAGGATCTAGAATAATGTCTGGCTCATAATACTTCAAAAAATGCTATTGAAAATAATGGGGCAAACAGTTAATTTTGTTCACTAATGCACAGATAAAACAACTGAATTCATTCTACTTAAATGACAGTATTTAATACTCTTAAGTGGAAGCATTTGCAGTCTATAAATATAAAAAGAGCAATTTTCTACCCTAGAGAGTATTTATATTGTCTTCATTCATTTGTATCTTGTTAGTAACTATTTTAGAGACATTGTTTTAGGCACAAAGCCCAGCTCTGTAAGGACGCATATTCTCTCTCCAAGTTCAGTGGGACTGACTATACCTCCATATTAAAAAGTTAGACTTCTCCTTGAGAATTTTGCACAACTTATTCTACCCACTTGTACTGTTAGCATGGCTCCAAAACACAATGCAGTGATTTAAGAAAAGAAAGAAGGAAGAAGACAGGAGAAGAGAGAAGACAGAAGGAAAGTGGATGGGGAGACAGAGAGGGAAGAGGGTTGTGCCAAATAAACCCTGAACTGTGTCCTGGGCTATGAAGAAAATCTGACAAGGAAAGTCAAGCATTAGCTGGAAGGTTACCATCTGCTTTACATGACTTAAAAATTACAGGGAGAAGATAAAAGGAACGTTCCTGAATCAGAATCTATGTGAATCAGGCATTCTGGGCTACATTACTGGCCTTACTCTTTGATGGCAATTATTTGCTTCCTAGTGTTTCCACTAGACATCCAAAAATAACACTTCTATAACACTTCTATTTTCATCTTACTTTTCTGCTGATGATAAATTCATTAAAGAAGATGAACTGGCCCAGAGAGGTGCTGCAACTTATAACTGTTTTTTCCTAGAAAGAACACTCAAACAAAAATGTCTGAGGTACTGAGAAACCATGTATTCTTAGGCCAACTACTTCACTATGACCCAGAACAGGTTCAGTTCTGGCACAGAAATGGAATGCAAAGATGTCCCTGGGTGGCAAATGGAAAGAAATCAAGAGGCCAAAGAACTCTGTAAGAAGTAGAATACACAACAAGCAAACCATCTGATTGAAGAGATCTGTTCTGGCTGACTTTAACTCAATTAACCAACAAATACACTACTATTATGTTTCATCATCTGAGCTGGACTGAACAGAGCTTCTGTATTTGGCAGTGACTTCCAGGGACATCAGGCACATGGAAGTGAACTTCACCCCTTCTTATTCCCTCACTTTAAATGTCCTGATTGGCTTTGAACAAGCAGATTTTTCAAAGGAAAAATTGTGTTATTGAGATAAGATGGATGAAATCAAAACAGGTACAGATGTGGAAAATCATAATTTTAAAAATAAGACTATAGCTTCTGCACACAAACGCAGGTTAAAAACTTTTTTTTTCCTGTCCCAAAATACAATAAACCTGGGCCAGTCCCTTTCACCTGTAAATGGGTTCAGCCCCCACAGAAAGTGCTGCTATCTTTCATCTGTAAAATCAATCTCCTCTTTTCATAGAGTCACAAATTATACAGAGTTCCACATACAAATCTTCCATAAATATATCTAGCCCCAGGCTATGAACCACCTGCCTCTCCTCTCTCTCTCTCTCTCTCTCTCTCTCTCTCTCTCTCTCTCTCTCTCTCTCTCTGACCTGCACTCTATTTCTTTGAGTGTGTACTTTTAAACTTCTGCCTTATAAATCCCTTTATGCCTCTTACTGATGTGTCCTGAAAATTCTTTTTCCTCAATAAGAGTCAGCAAACCTGAAACATGTAAACTGTTCTACGAGTAGAGTGGGTTCAGATTCTTCATCACCACTTTGGAAACCTCCTAGGATCCTGTGCAGTGACAGTGTAACATCTCACCAAGATCAACCAAAATAAAAGATACTCCAGAGAAACTCAAAGATTCCCTCTTCTGTAACACTTCTTACAAAGCCTGAAACTGGGTGACTGGGGATATAGCTCAGCAGTGCAGGGCTTGCCTGATAAGTGTGAGGTCCTGAGTTTGATTCCTAGTGCCCTCCCCAAAAAAGCCTGAAACTGAAGTTAGAAACATATATATTATAAAAAATTAAATAAAGCATCTAAAATATATATATTATATAAGGAAGTTATGAAGTATGTATGTATATTGTTGACATTTCAGATGAGTCTTACTGACTTAAAATCATGCAGCTTGAAAGAGCTACAAAGTGAATAGAAAATTTCATAAGCACATAACTGTTGGGGGATATGTATTCTTTAAACAACATTTCTGTGCCATATAGTCATTCATACACAACTTAGTATAAAAGCACACCAAAAAGATACAGATAAATTTCATCAAGTAATATGTCATAATGCTGGAATTTTTTATAGCATACATAGCTTAATAATTGTATCACAAATGTAATGACTTTGTATGGAACCATCGTCTGTGTCTCTATACAGCAGTGTTAGCACTTAAAGAATAGATAACATTTTTTATCATAGGGTTACCATCAAAGTTTGTTTTTTTTTTTTTTTATTTAAGAGGAAAAAGAGAAAAACACAAAACAAACCAAAGCGGCGTAAGGGTACACGCAATACAGAACTACAAAACAAAACAAAACAAAAAACCATAACAGTAAGAAATTACCTGCTAGTAGATTACACACTATTTTCTTGAAAATAGTTCCTCAAATCACAGTATCAAAGAACACAAGGTGGACATTCAAACAGGGAGACTGCAAACAGCTGTGTTCAATGTTCCAAAAACATTGATAAAGTCAGCTATTTAACACCCCCAAACACACTTGCTGTTATATCCGTTAGAGCTCTTTTTCTTTTTTTTTTTTTTCCCTCTCTTTTTTACAACAAAATTTACACATCTTGGATTTTATTACTCCTTAGTGCTTATTACTTTCTTTTGGGGGGGGGAAGAATACAGTCAAATATGGCAAAACAAAGCTGTCAGTCAATACCAAGGATAGACATAGCACATGGTGTAGAAGAGAGTACAAGTTTATCAACAATGGTTATCAACGTTGTCCCTTGTTTCCTTAAAAAGGATTGTCTATCTTATTAGATATTATAAAGTTGGACAAAACAGTAGAGAACAAGACCAATAAAACTTAGGCATTGTAAACATTACAGGACTTCCAAAGAAGACAATAGTCAAACCAGAATGGGTATCTTAGTGAATCTTATTGTCTTCAAAGTAGTTGCCTATGTCTTCAAACTTGATACTATCATATAGAATGGAACAGAGTCTAATCAGTCAAAACAAGATCGTGGGAGTACTACAGGACTTCAAAACAAGTTAATAGGAAATCGAAAAGAGTTACTATTTATATATCCTAATTTTTTTGAATTTTTTCTTTAATTAAGACAAACATAAGAAATGACTAAATAATTTTTTTGAAACAATAAGGGGGAGATTGAGATAAAACAGGACATAACAATATAACAATAGAGGTCACAGCATGACTGTTTCAATAACCTAGTACTTCACCACCTTATAACCTGACTTAATAGTAGCTACCATAGTGTCTTTTTCCTTGAAATATTTGGGTAAAACTTCATATACTCTAGCTTCAAATATTTTCATATCAAGAAGCCCAGAATAAAGCCTTTCTAATTAATGAGTGAAAACTTTATAAGGCTTCAAGGCCACCTAATGGGGAATCATGATTACCACATATTTTTATATATTTGAATCATTACTTACATTAGGGAAACTATTCGGTATTCACACATGCGAGATTGATTTATTTCACTTATGAGTTACCATCAAAGTTTGGAGTTGTTTTAGCATTCTAAACTCTCCAAGAGAGCAGCAAGTAAACAATCTGGCCTCTGATGGGCATACACCTCAACACGCATACCTGTAATACATATATACACAGGGTAGCTTACAGCAAGAAGTACAAAAAGTCAAAATCTGATCACCTTTGCCAAAATATCTGATATTTCCTAGTCATACAATTTATGCCATCAATTTACCGTCTTGAAGCAGAATTTTCTTGTCCCCAAACTAAAATGAGTATTAATTCTCATTTTTACTATCCAGAGGAATACTAAGATGATAAAAGGAAAATCAAAAAAGAACCAGCACTGATATCTCTGAAAGTAATTTTCATTAGATTATGTGTTCCTAGAGGATAGAGATTAAGAATCATTCATTTTTGTATATATAGGCCTTGCTCAATTATAGGCAATTCATCAATACTTGATAAATAATGTAAAGAAAAATGAGGAAATCAGAAAGCCCTTTCAATATGATGTTATCGTCATCCCTCACTACTTGTAGTATTTATCCTCCAGCTACAAATGCCTTGGATGTCCAAGTCCCTTACCTAAAGTGGTGTAGTATTTGCATGTAACATATACACATTATCATATATATATACATAAATTTTTTCTTTTGCATCAGGGATCAAACTCACAACCTTACACCTGCCAGGTAGGCACTTAAGCCACTGAGCTAAATCCCTGGCCCTATTCATATATTTGAAATCATCTGTAGATTATTTCTAGTAGTTAATTCAGTTACAAACACTATGTAAACCACTGTTATTGTCTAGGGAATAATAACAAGGAAAAAGTCTGTTTACATTCACTGCATATACATGCAGAGATTTCTTCTTATATTTTTGGCTTTTTCAAGTATTTTCCATCCATAGTTGGCTGAATCCATGTATGTGGAACCCACAGAAAATGGAATGCTAACCATTCAATAAGGAATAATACTGTATCTCTAAACATGTTCATATTTAGCTTATGATTTTGCTTTATAATATGTAATAGTCTTCCAAGAGAAAGAAAATTTGGAACCTAAAGACATAAATGGCAAGAAAATTTGAAAAGTGGCTATTTATTAAACTATTACATTATGCTTCTGCAAAATTCTGGAGAGAAACTTTTTGCAAACTATTATAGATCAGCCTTCTCTCTTTCATTTACCATTTGAAGTATACTTGATTATTCTATTGAATGACTCAGCACACTTGAAAGAATTTTCATTAATACAGCTTATTATTTTAGTTTTAAATTAAGCATAATTCAAGATTTAAAGTACTTTTGTCAGTCAAAAGTCTTTACAAGAGATATATAAACTATAGCTTCTAAATACAATTCAGTCTGCTGTTCATGAGTTAATTGATTTTAAGTGATTGAAAAGAAAACCGTAATTTTGGTGACATGTTGAAAATATACAAAATTCAGAACCCAGTGTACATGAATAAAGTTTTATTGGAACATAGCAGTGTGTTTTCATTTACAGTGTACTATCTATATCTACTTTCAGCTAATAAAGCTGAGGAGTCGCAAAAGGATTAAACAATCCCAAAATTTAAAACATTTACCACTGATCATTAACAGAAAACGCTTGCCAACCCCTTGATTTATAACAAAATGGATAGTAACACTGGGAGTGACTAGAAGAATTGAGTAATGTTTGCCTAAACCACAGGCTTCTATAGTTTCTAAACCACCTCCTGATAACTGAACAATGCAGAAGCTACCAAAAGTACTTTACCTGCCATTTTCCTTAGGAGATCTGAAAGTAAAAAGGAAAATTATTAATCAGAGTTTAAGACAGGTATACATGTCACACCATTCATCAAAGTACAAGTTGTTTATATATTTCTTCTCATTTTGTTTGAAACACCTTCTTAAATGAAAATACATCACAGTATCAGTTACTGGCAAAACTCCATACACTGAAGAAAATAAAACTGAAGAAAACACTTTAAAACCAAAGGTTTTTACAGTCACTTAAACTTCTGCTTTAAAATAACTAATGTATGACTTATTTATTTTAAATAGTTTCTTAAAGTACCAGAGGTTGAACGTAGGACCTCTGCCCTGAGCTACCTCTCCAGGCCTTTTTATTTTTTATTTGGAGACAAAGTCTCCCTAAGTCACTAACTTATCCATAAGTTTCCCAGGCGAGTCTCAGACTTGGTAATCTGCCTGCCTCCGCCTCCCAGAGCACTGGCACTACAGGCATGCATCACCTCCCTTAGTTATAAGTAATATTTTTTGGTAGATTAACAGAGGCTTCAGTTATTAATGTTAAAACTGGAAACCTTTTTGGCATTGCATTTCTTATAGTATTAAAATAAATGAAAAGTAGATTTATAAATCCACACTAAAATAGGACATTGAGAAATTTCAGAACCTCACTGAAAAAAAAAATGGTCCTATAACTTTCAAGAGAGATGAAGGAATCTCTTATAAATCAAAATGAACTTCTCCTACAATAACAGAAATTAGAACAATAACTTCAATATTAAACAAAGTTGTTTCTCAATCACAGTTCCATGCCTAACCAAACTACCCAACTGGAGAATTAAATAAGGATATTTTCAAAATGCATAAAAACAATGAAATTATTTCCCGTACAATCTTTTGTGTTGTACCACATGAAAAAATAGATCAGAAAAATGTTTACATAGTCTTCGGCAGAGAAGAAAGGAATTCCAGATTCTTTCCCTGCCATGGAGGAATACTAGTTAAAACACACGGTAAGCCCTGTAACAAATGGGTCTCCCAAGGACAGTGGCTAAAAGGCAAAAGCAGCTTCCTTTCTTACGTAACACCCTCAAGCTGAGTAATACAGGTTGATGGGACATTTGAGCTTCACAAAATCAAGTGAGGGGCTCAAGTTTCTTTTGTCTTGTTGCTCATCCAGAATGTCATATTTCTCCTCATATTCAAAGCCTCAGGACATAGCTATGTTCCAGTTTGTGGGCAAAGTGTAAACAGCAACTCAGACTGACTGAGAAATTAAGTTTATATACCTCCCGTCCTCGTTCATACTATCAACAATAACTTAGGCATATGGCCAAACCCATGAGAAGAGAGGTAATGAAATATAGTTTCTAGCTATGAAATCATGGGTCTAATTTAAATTGTCTGATTATGGAAGAAAGTAAAAATAGAATTTGGATATATTTTAGTTCTGCTATGAAGAACAATCAGTCCAAATTGGTTTATGTTTTAAAAACTAAGAACAAACAGAGTGTTAACTGTATGCATGATACCCTTCCCTCCAGGGTGAATAAATAAACACAGTGGAAGTCAATGGAAATACAACATTTTTTTAAAAATCTAAATTAATTATGATGTTTGGCAGATACTAAATGAAGAAACAACAAAGTATGCACATAGCATAAATGATGACATAATAACTGAAGTATCACGGCGGTACAGATCTGTAATCTCAGCACTTGGGAGACTGAGACAAGAGGATCACACAAATTCAAGGCCAGCATGGACTACATAGTTCAAGACCAGCCTGTGCTGCACAGCAAGATCCTGTCTCAAAAATAAATAAATAAACAAGGCATGTATACCTCTAGTAATTCTGATTCTGGAAATTTATCCTAAAGATATAACAGTATAATATTTTTATAACTAAAAAATAAGAAATCTAAATATTCAGTAATAGAATGAAATTAATTATACACATATACTATGGAATATGATGCAGATTTAAGAAAGAATAGGCTAATTAAAACCAAAACAAAAATTATAACTAGTAACCATATTAAACCATGGTTAAATAAGCATAATCTTTTAGCATGATTCATGATTTCAATAAAGATTAAAATATTTCTTTAAGAAAAAAAACAGACTGTAAAGCTGAAAATGCAATGGTACAGAATTATACTTTAAAAACACAAAGGAATATCAGATGCTACACAGTGAGGTTCAAAGAGAGTAGATAAAGATCAAACTGACTAACCTATAATATCTCACACAGTATTTATCCATGTTATATAACACACACCAAAACAGAACTTTCCATGTGCTGGAAAGTAGGGCAAGCATTTATAAAAATTAATTCACTTAATCCTCATTAAGATTCATTAAAGTCTGTTAGTATCCCCAAGTTCATGTAATGAAATTAAACAACAATAAAACAAAACTAAATCATTTCCCCAGACTATTTTAAAAGCATTTTAACAGCACAGAATTAATAGTTAAATTATTTTATACAAATGCAAAGTGAGGATCTAGTAATATACTCCAAGCTACCCAGGTAGAAGTGCAAAGGCAGAATTCAAAGCTAGGCAGGTTGGCTCCAAAATCTGTGTTGTCTTCTTCAAAGGCCTCACATTCTTGGGCTCTCATTTAAATTTAGTCACAAGTAAAGGCAGCATTCTATAAAAACTCCTAAGATTTAGCAGGAGAACCTGATGATGATGTGAGAGGAGATAAGTCATGTAGGACCTTTCTTTGTGAAGCCTGTACTATTTGCTAAGTGCCCTTTGGTAAATTATTTAATTTTCTGTGCTCTGACATCCTTATCAGAAAAAACATCAATATATATAGCTTATTGTACAGTAAATGCTACATTGATATTTATTATTATTTATGGTAAACTGAGAAGTTCTGATTAAGAAAAGGTCAAAGTGGAGATGATAAATAACACTGCTAATTTATGTTGTATGCACGGTGGCCCAGTCTAGGATTCCTGGAAGCCAATACTTGGGCTACAGCTATCACCCACGTGCTTCAAACGCTCACATGACTGGGTTGAGCAGGGAGATTAAAAGCAGAGCTATAATACCAGCTGCTTAGTCTCAAAATCCCTCCTCCATATCCAACTGACAAGCTCTATATGCTCTTTCATCTATTTAAATCTGTTCCTCCTCTATGGAATTATTAAAAACATGCATAGAGGGTTGAAGATTAAATGAGTTCAAGTGTGAAGTTCAACATACAAAGTATTTGCTTAATAAATGTTCTCAGGAATTACAATATGAATCTTAAACAGGAAAGAAATGCCTTTAAAAGAAGCCTCTGCAAAAAAAAAAAAAAAAGAAAGAAAGAAAGAAAAAAGAAAAGAAAAGAAAGAAAGAAAAAAAAAAAAAAAAGATTGAGCCGAGTATTTAGCTTAGCAGCATAAGCGCCTGCCTGCAAGCGTGAGGTCATGAGTTCGATCCCCAGTACCAAAAAAAGAAAAAAAAAGCCTTTGAGATACTCAGAACTACTACGTTTGAAATGAGGACAAATACATCCCTTCAACAGTGGCCTCATCCAAGAAAGCAAAGGGACCTCAGTGGAACATTTGTAATCTTTGAGAGAATGCTGAGGCCTCATCTATCTGACCGATAATCACCTCAGTGCCAAATAAGAGCTGTGTAACTTGTCAGCAGTAAACTGGGGACCCAAACTCTTAAATTCTTACTCTGGCCCAACTACAAAGGTAATATAGCTCCTTGAATATATTATTTTGCCTTTTTCTAACTCTATTTCCTCATTTGAGAAACTAACACTAAGAATACTAATTTACCAGAAATAGCATCAAAGTACAGCATTCGGATTATTTTTTTGTTAGAGTGCTTATGATAAATACAAAGGATATTGAATTAACAAAGAGTACTACTATTGAACACAGGTATTTTTAAAGGAAATTTGTTTACCTAAATTCAAGAACATGAATGTCCTTGTAGCCTGGTAACCCAGTAAATGCATTTTCAACCTGTTAAAAATAAAAATAAAAATTATAACTATATAGAAATATGAAAAAGTAATGTATATGTAAAACTTTTAAGATTAGAAGATGAAGTATTCTATTTATAATTATTTGAAGATATATGAGTCAGCAATGAAAAAATTGTTATTTGTTATAATATTGACATATTTTTGTTTGTTTTGTTTTGTTTTGTTTTGTTGTTTTGAGACAGGGTCTCTCTATGAAGTTCAGGTTGGCTTTGAGTTCACTTTGTACCCCAGTCTAGTCTTAAACTTGCAACAATCCTTTTATCTCAGCCTCCTTATTTCTGGGATTATAGGAGTGGGCCACTACGCCCAACTTTTCAAACTAACTTTTCTAAAGTATAAAAAGCATATTCTTATTGGCAAGACACTGCTTTATCTTTTGTGTGATAAAATATGAAAAAGTATTAATTTCAATAAAGTTACAACAGCACTTTTAAATGTTGCTGTTTGGATTAGAAATCTGGCCCCAGTCAAAACACTAACAATAAGTGTCTATTTTCTGTAAGTGTGAAAGTGTGTGGTGATACCTGTTTCTTGTTCATACAACACAAGAGTACTATGACCACACTAAGGATTTGAGGGCAGTGCACAAGCCCTTGTTACTCTATTACAGAGAGGCTGAAATAACCCTGGACAAGTCATTTGGCCTTCTGAAGCACATCTGTAAAATGAAGATGCTTATTCCCATGATTCATGTGAGCAAGTAGACAGAAAGCCTGTAGAAGCACTAGGCACTTGCATAAAAGCACTATGCAAAGACACTGCGCTGGTGCTGTGACTGTCTTCCATACAGACCTTCCCAAGCTTATCACACTATCCTTCCCTCTGACATCGTACTTGGCATTGTTGCAAGTTTGTCATTTTCTCTCTTCCTCTTACCTTTATCCTCATTTTTAAAAAAGAGAAAAAAAAGTAAAACTTGAACCTCTTCCTGTCCAAATTGAGGCTTTCTTTTTCCCAGTGTTTCCTTCACTACTACCTAGGATGCAATATTGAGGGCACAAGCTGTGAAAGGAAAGAGCTAGAAACAAGGTCCCTTTCAAGTTTCAGGAAGCACAGTGACAAGATCCTCAGGAGACAGAGCTATCTCTGCTGTTCCACACAAAGAAGTAGCTATTGAGAGGCATTTTACAGAATGTAAAAAGGGGACATATGATACAAATACAGGACAGAGAAGGAGGTATTTTGATGACAAGTCCAGGCTCTTCATCATCATCAAATTGCTTTAACCTCTCTTACTAAGTCTCAACTAAAGATGTTTTTCAGAGTGTTTGCTACATTTTTTCTCTAAATCTGCAGTCATTCCATTTAGTGTTTGTTTATCCAAACACTAAAACTTATTAAGTGTTCCTTAATCCAATGGCAAAAAAGAACCAGACGGCCAACCTAAGACACTATCTGATGCCAGGTGACCACTGGTCTGGCTGGCATTTCTTCCACATACCAAACCTTGCAACTTGGCCACCTGGCTAGGAAAATGAATAGTCTGGCTGACACTCCCATGTCTGATGACTGCAAAAATGCTCTTTGGCTAAGTGATGCATATTTTTATTTCCCATCTGGACACAGTGTCTGGGGAAGGAAATTAACCCAAGTTAATGGAATTGAAAGCTTTGGTCAACCAGAACCCAATCAAGAGGGAATGAAAAAGAAATAGGAAAGATGGGCTATGGATACAGCTCAGTGACACAAGTGCCTGCCTGGCAAGCATGCAGTCACAGGTTTGATCTCTAGTCCTAAAAAACAAACAAGAAAGATAATGTGCCCTGTCACAGGTAGAGAGGGGTAGATAATCAAATGCCCACCACACAAAGACAAAGACAACTAGAAGTGCCTCAGGAAGGGGTCATTCTTAACTGGAAGAAACTTGAGTTTCAGTCCTGTGCAGAATTTTTCAGAAAATAAAATTATGGTATGGTCTAATTCAGTTATTTAAAGGAATTCTTTTTTAAAAATACCTCTTGCCAAAGAACAAATACTGGAGGGAAATCTATTTTTACTGGATGCATTTTTTGATTCCAAACTCTGTTACCTACTCAAAATTTTCAGTGTAACAAAAAAGAATACCAAAGATGAATTTTTAAAATTAAATGTAATGTTCCCTTTAAAAAAACAATACATTATCCATAACTTCCCAGAGATGCTCATTTTCCCAACTACTGTCAAGTCAAAACCATTCAATGGAACTCAGTCTTTATCTGTGCAGCAGAAGTTGGAAAGAGCATTTGTTAGTACAGAGCAATATTTTATCTCTAATAAAGAATTTATCTGTCAGGTAGCCATTGTCAGTTTCCTATTATCTTGTTTTGAAGTCCTATATTGCTTTTATTTTTTTGTCTTGATTGGTTTTATTATTTTGTTTTGGTTGGTTTTATTATGTCAGATGGGCAGCTATTGTGAAGAAACAAGAAGCATGATAGCCATTGTTGATGTCCTACTATGTCGTTTTGAAGTTCTATATCACTTTCATTGTTTTATTTTGTTTGGTTTTATTCTCTTTAAAATAAACACATTTTTATCCATTTATTTATACTTTACTACTTATTTATATTTTTTAAAATATGTATTTATTTATATTTATTATTTATTTATAATTTTAAAAATTTTTTATTTTAAAGAGAATAAAACAAAAGAGAACAGAACAAGGCAAAACAGAACAAAACAACGCAAGAACACAGCACTTCATGACAAGACAACCAGATATCGACAGTAGCTACTATAATATATTTTTTCTTTGAAATAGTTGAGCATACCTTCACACACAATAGTATCAAACATAACAAAATAGTATAAAACTATTCAAGAGAATGAAAGTATTACAGGATATTCAAAACCAAATAGTAGATAATGAACAATAGCTACTATAATATCTCATTTTCATTAAAAAAATTTGTTTATACTATCACACATATTAAAATCCAGTAAGTCACAAGATGGTAGAACCAACGGAAAACAGAAGAACAAAAGCATGGTAGGAATTCAAAGCAAGATGACACTAACTCAGCAATGGCTGCCATAATGTCTTGTTTTCTTCAAACTAGCTGTTCTTATACCTTCACACATAATAAAATCAAACAAAGCAATAAAACCATTCCAACCAATGAATGAAAATATTATAAGACTTCAAAGCAATATACTGGGGAACCATGACTACATAAAATCTTATGTACTCTTACCATTTCTTAAACTAGGGAGACTATACAGTATTTATACATGTGAATTTGATTTATTTCATTTATGAGTATGGTCTCAAGTTGCATCCATTTATTTATAAATATCTCAATGTGATCATTCTTTATAGCTGAGTAGGACTGCATTGTATAAAAATACCACATCTTTTTTAGCCATTCCTCAGTTGATGGACACTCAGCTTGTTTCCAAGGTCTGGCTATTATAAATTGTGCTGCTATAAACATGGGTGCACATATATCACTGTGGTATGATGTTTTCAATTCGTCTGGGAATATACCCAGAAGTGTAATAGCTGGGTCAAATGGGAGTTCCAACCCCGGATTTTCGAGGAATCTCCAGACTGACCTCCATATTGGTTGCACCAGTCTGCACTTCCACTAGCAGTGCAGAAGAGTTCTTTATTCCCCGCAGCCTCTCTAGCATTTGTGGTTGGTAGTTTTCTTGATCCTGGCCATTCTTTCTGGAGATGAAATCTCCTCAGTGTGGTTTTAATTTGCATTTCTCTAATGAATAATGATGCTGAACATTTTTTCATGTATTTATTTGCCATTTGTATTTCTTCATCTGAGAACTGTGTCTTCATTTTAGATGCCCATTTTTGGATTGGGTCTTTGAATTTTGAAAGTCTGATTTTTTTTAACTCTTTATATATTCTAGACAAAAGTCTTGTGAGTGAGGAACAGTTCACTCAGATTTTTTCCCAATTTGTGGGTTTTCTTTTCACTAGGCTGGAGATTTCTTTTGACATGTAGAAACTCTTTAATAAGACATGATCGCAGTTACTGATTCTTGGAAGTATTTCCCATATGGTTTGATTCTTGTTCATGAATTCTCTATCTACCCCTATATTTTCAAGATTTTTACCTACTTTGTCTTCCAACAGATTTAGTGTTTCTGTTTTAATAGTTAGATCTTTGATCCATTTAGACTTTAGTTTAGTACATTTATAGGCATGGATCTAGTTTTAGTTTTCGGCATATGGAGAGCCAATTTTTCCAGCACCATTTATTAAAGAGACTATCTTTCCTCTAGTGGACATGTTTGGCCCCTTTATCAAAGATAAAGTGGCTGAGTGTGTTTGTAGTTGTATTTTCTGATCTATTCCATTGATCTTCAGGTGTGTTTTTATTCCAGTACCGTGTTGATTTTATTACCTAGCTTTGTAGTATAACTTCAAGTCAGGGATTGTGATGCCTCTTGCCTTGTCTTTGTTGCTTAGAATTGCCTTTGCTATTCTAGAACTCTTCTGATTCCAGATGAATTTTAGGAATATTTCTCTTGATCTATGAGGTATATTAGTGCTACTTTGATTGGGATTGCATAAAATCTGTATAACAATTTAGGAAGAATGGCCATTTTCAGAATATTTATTCTTCCTATCCATGAACAAGGGATGTCTTTCCATTTTCTGAGGTCCTCTTCAATTTCTTTTTTCAGGATATTATAATTTTTTCCTGAATAGATATTTTGCTTCTTTCATTAGATTAATTCCTAAGTATTTCAGTTTTTTTGGATGCTACTGTGAAGGGTGTGGCTTCTCTTATTTCTCTCTCAGTGGTTTTGTTGTTGTAGTGTATAGGAATGCTATTGATTTTTGAGTGTTGACTTTGTATCCAGCTACATTACTGAATTTATTATACCTAAGAGTCTTTCAATGGAGTTTTGGGGGTTTTCTATGTAGAGTATCATGTTATCTGCAAATAATGTGATTTAACTTCTTCTTTTCCTATCATTATTCATTTATTTCTCTGCCTTGTTTAACTGCTCTGGCTAGTATTTCCATCACTATTTTGAATAGGAGTGGTGATAATGGACATCCTTGTCTTGTGCCTGATTTTAGGGTAAAGGCTTTTAGTTTTTGGCCATTTAATATGATGCTGGCTGTTGGTTTGTCATGGATGGCCTTTATCATATTGAGGTAAAGACCATCTATTCCAATTCTCTGTAAGGTTCTTATCATGAATAAGTGTTGGACCTTATCAAAAGCTTTTTCTGCATCTATAGAAATGATCGTGTGATTCTTATTTTTGGCTCTATTGATATAATGGATTACATTTATTGATCTGCATGTGCTGAACAACCCCTGTATCCCCAGGATGAATCCCACTTGGTCATGATGCAAAATCTTCTTGATGATTTGCTGAATTCTGTTTGCCAATATTTTATTGAGAATTTTTGCATCTATGCTCATTAGGGACATTGGCCTGTAGTTCTCTTTTATAGTTGGGTTTTTCTCAGGTTTTGGTACTAGAGTAATATTTGCTTCCAGGAATGACTTAGGAAGAATTGCTTCCCTTTCAATTTCATTGAAGAGTTTGAGGAGTTTCGGCATTATGTTTTCTTTGTATTTCTTGTAGAATTCCTCAATGAATCCATCTGGGCCTGGGCTCTTCTTTGTAGGTAGGGACTTAATTACATTTTCAATTTCATTAATAGAAATTGGATTATTCAGTAGTTTTACATCTTCTTGACCCAGCTTTAGTATTACATATGTTTCTAGGAATCTCTCCATTTCTTCTGTGTTATGAAGCCTAGGAGATTAGAGGTTTTCAAAATAGATGTTGATGATCCTCTGTATTTCCATACACCGTAATGATTTCACCCTTTTCATTCCTTATTGCATGAATTTGAGTTTTTCTTCCCCTTTTTAAATAAGGTTGGCTAGGGGCTTATCAATTTTATTTATTCTTTCAAAGAACCAACTATTTGATTCATTGATTGTTTGGATTGTTTTCTTAGTCTTTATTGTATTGATTTCTGCTCTGACCTTTATAATTTCCTCCCCTCTTTTGGATTTGAACTTGACTTCCTCTTCTTTTTCTAGATATTTCAGGTATACCATCAGGTTCTTTTTTTGTTTGTTCTGTTTTCCTGATGTGGGAATTCACTGCAATAAGTTTTCCTCGGAGGACTGCTTTCACTGCATCCCACAGATTTCGGTAAGTTGTATTTGTATTTTCATTTGCTTGTGGATATTGTTTAATTTGTTCTTTAATTTCCTCTGTGACCCACTAGTTGCTCAGGAGTATATTATTCAGTTTCCATAGGGGAGGTATTTGCAGTTTCTTTTATCATTAATTTCTAGTTTCATGGTGCTATGATCAGATAACATGCATGGAATAGTTTCAACTCTTTTGTATTTACTTACGTATGTTCTGTGGGCTGTTATATGGTCTAGAGAATTTTCTATGTACTGCTGAGAAGAATGTATATTCTGATGTTGGGTGTGACACTCTGTATATATCTATCAAGTTCATGTGTTCACAGATGTGATTCAGTTCTGTTATTTCTTTGCTGATTTTCTGTATGGTTCATCTGTCCCTTTGTGTCAATGGTATGTTATAACTGTTATAATTGTGTTACTGCTTCTATGATTTTTCATTTCTGTCAATATTTGTTTTGTATAGCTGGATGCTCCCAAATTTGGTGCATATATATTTAAGATTGTTATCTCTTCCTCTTGAAGTTTTCCCCTAACTTGTATGTAGTGACCTTCTTTATCTCTTTGGATCATTCTTGGTTTGAATTTCACATTGTTTGCAAACAGAATAGCTACCTGTGATTTGGGGGGGGGTTCTGTTGCATGAAATATTGTTTTCCATCCTTTGACTTTCAGTCTATGAGTTTCCCTTTGGATTAGATGGGATTTTGTATACAACATATGGTTGATTGTTGTTTCTTGATCCATTCTGCCAATCTGTTTCTTTTAATTGGTGAATTGAGGCCATTTACATTACTGGTTGTAACTGATATATATTGATTTATTTTTGACATGTTATCTTTCTGCTGTTGCTTCTTTGTCTTTCTACTCTGTTTAACTGTCTGCCGTGTTGGTGGGTTTTTCTTACATATATCTAGAATGTGTTTCAGTATTCTTTACAAGGTTGGTTTGGTGATCATGAAATTCTTCAGCTGTTCTTCAACATGGAAGTATTTTATTTGTCCATACATTTTGAAAGACAGTTTTTCAGGACACATCAGTCTGGGTTGGAAGTCATTTTCCTTTAGGATCTGAAATACTTCACTCCATGTTCTTCTTGATTTCATTGTTTGTGTTGAGAAGTCTGCTGTGATTCTGATAGGTTTTCCTTTATAGTGATCTGTTTCTTCTCTCCAACAGCTTTTAATATTGTGTTCTTATGTTGGATTTCTGGGATGTTGATTATTAAATGTCTGGATGTAGTTTTAGTTTGGTTATTGCTATTCGGAGTTTTATATGCTTCACTAATCCTCATGTCAGTTTCCATTCTCATGTTTGGGAAATTTTCAGCTATTATTTCTGTAAATAGCCTCTTGATATCATTTGTGTTGTCACCTTCTTTTTCCTTTATCCCAATCTTATGTTGTTTTTCTTTGCATCATCTTGCAGCTGTTGAATTGTTATTTCCTGATTCCTTGTTATTTTTAAAAGATTTTTCCTTTCCTGTTCACTAGCTACAATCTTGTCTTCAAGGTCTGAAATTTTATTTTCACTTTCGTTGAGGCAGTTTTGCCAACTTTCAATGGAATTTTTGATTTCCTGTATACCTCTCTGAATCTGCTTCATACATCGTTTCTTATACTGTTGATTCAAAGTTTCCATCTTTTTGCATTGTTCCTCTAATTTCTTTAACCATGTCTTCATTAGATGTGTTTAGCGCTTCTTTAATTACATTTATCATTTCTTTTTTTACCTGGGAGATTATTTCTGATTTGAGTTCTTTTATAGCTTCCCAAAGTTGTTTCTTTACTTCAGTTGATATCATTTCAGGCATTTCAGGTGTATGGCTTATATTTTTTTCTATTTACATGGACCCTAGGCTTGCTTGGGATGGGCTGGAGGTTTGAGATTGCACTTTGGTCTTTTGTTTTGTCGTTTTCCTTTATTTCCAGGTTTCCAGTGATTTTTCAGAGTTTTCTGCTGGCATGCTGGAATGACTTCATGTGCTCACAGATCCCCAGCACTGATTGGAGGTTGCTGGGCATGGCCCAGTCAGGTCCGCAGTGACCTTCTGTGGGTCCTCCTCCGGTGGTCTAGGATGCTGGGCAGGGTCCTAACCACTGGGGAGCCAAGGTCCAGAGCTTTCCCTGAGTGAGCACAAGCATGCTGGAATTCACCTCGCCTGCTCTCAGCATCCAGTGCTCAATGGAGGTGGCTAGGCATGGCCTAGCCAGGCCAGTGGGATCTCCGTGCCTCCTATGGTTGTTCTGAAAGCTGGGCAGGGTCCAAACCACTGGAGTGATTGTCCAGAGCTCTCCTGGAGGGACCTTGGGTGCCCTCAGCTCAAAGGGCTCTCAACAGAGGTGGCTAGACATGGCCTAGTCAGGCCTGCGGGATCTCCTGTGCCTCCTACCATTGTTCAGAAAGCTAGGCGCAGTCCTAACCACTGGGGGTGATGGTCTAGAGCACTCCTGAGCCAGTGAAAGTACTCTGGAATTCACCTTTTTCACCCTCAGCCTCCAGGGCTCAATAGAGCTGGCTAGCTCCAATGTGTCAGGCCCACAGGGAAAATAAAAAATTTTTTTAAAAAGGAAAAAAAGAACTTAGCTGTCTTTTGGTGAACTTTTCACAGATTTTCTGAAGAAATAGCTAAGTCACTACTCTAGGAACCAGATAGAAGGACAGACTGAGTCAAAAATATAACCATTAAACAGTGTTGTTAATACAGAAAACTTACATCCCTAGAAAATTGTCTTGTTTATTGAACAAATAAACAAAACCACCCACCTCTGAAATAAATTCTTCTATAAGATTCTTGTGGTAGGAGCTGGAGGGGTCCTGTAGGTCTTGCCTATATTGCTTCCCCAAAAGGTGGATACTGAATTCTGCAATCTGTTCAGCCGCTGGTTTTGTGGGCTCTTCAATAACATTCACAATTTCATTGCTAATCTGGAATTTTAGAAAAAACAGTGTCAGTGATATTTATTCACAACAAATACTTATCAACTGGCTACAAAATTCCAGATACTATGTCACACATAATTTTTGACAATGAACTTTCATGCAGTATTTGACTTTGAAACAAATTCACAAAAATATTAAAATTACTGTGCATTTGTACATTCCTTTGAACACACACTGACCAATTCAAGGGAAGATGAAAATTTTTCCATAGGAAATCATCAAAGTGAGTTTTAAAAGAGTGGATTATTATGTAATTATCATTTAAAAATAGTCTAGGAAGATGATTCTCAAATTTTGATACCAGAGCCCCCTTAAACTCTTAAATATAATTGAGCAAATCAAAGAAGTATGGCTTATGTAGATTATAGCTTTAAGTATTTACCAAACCAAATTAAAATGTGTCACGTACATGTGCCAATTTCCCACAAGGAATGTAAACATTAGATACTATACACATGTATTAATAAACCAAAATTTTAAAACTGAAAAACGTTACAAGAGAGATTTGAAAATATGTATTAGGTCACTTTAAAATAGCAATAACCCATTTCATGTAAAAATAAAAATTTTATGCAAAATAAAAGAGTAAAAAACATGATGTTTACATTTTTGCAACTTCTTTACTAACATATGGATTAATACAAAACACAGCTGGGTTCTCAGATTTACTTCTACATTCAATTCATTGCAATATTGTATTTTAGTTAAAATGCATGAAGAAAATCTGGCCACCCAGATACATATTGGAGAAAACAAAGAAATGTTAATAATCTTTTCAAATAACTGTGAATATTCTTTTTTGATACTATACCAGCTCAAAAAGTGATAATTTCTTATAGGTTGGTTGCTATATGGAATCAAAAATCATATTCAGTGAACTTTCTGTTGTATTATTTTGTAACAAAATTCAGGTTTTTCAGTGACAAAAAACAATTTGAGCAGGAAAAATAAATACTGTATTATAGTCCAAGGAATAAAATAAATATCAGTGTCTATAGTGATATAAATAAATGACTAAATGAATGAGAGTGAAGTAACAACAGCTTCTTACAATAGAATTATTCTTAATAAATTTAGAAGGAATGAGGGAATTCTATCATTTCTAGAACACTACAGCATTCTACCTGGGCAATAGGTAATTTTTTACTTAGTATCTAATTTTTTTACAATAAAGACTCAGATATAGGATTTAATGTTTAGTAGACAAGTTCCTATTATAATGATGCATTTAAAAATTTTTTTAAATTTTAAGTTACATAAAATCTGTATTCTTTTTCTCTAAAGAAAAGACACCTAAGACATGATTTACGAAGGATTAGAACATCAGTTTATGACAATTAGAGTTCTGTAAGCTGCATGTCATTTCATGTAAAATTTGAATGCAAAAACCTCTTCCAAAAGATATTTATATAGTTCTCCAAGGAATATCAGATTTTTAATGCACTGGTTTAGAATTCATGACTTTTTTACAGTAAGATACCACACAAAGTCCTAGGTAGTCCACTAATGAAAAATAAACTTGCTCTTAATTCCTGCCCTCTATGTTTTAGAAGGTAAGTAGCAAAACATCGTGACTCACACTCTCCTCTGGACTTTGCAAGCTACTCTCTGAGGCACCTTCATGAGAAGACATTCCTGGATATGGAACACTGAGAACAGCACCTAAGCAGAAAACAAAAACACATGTTTGAATTCAGTTCCTGATTATTCAGAATTCATACCAAGAAACTAAGAATCGACTTCAAAAACTTCTCGTAAAAGTCTTTTACATTTTCATACTGTAAATTCAGTCCATTTTAACCTCAAGACACATTTGCAATGGGTCTTCTTAGAGCAAGAAATAGTTACAACTTTGTTTCTAATCTCATGTAACTATACTGTAGAGAAAAAGTGCGTGAAGGTTAGAGATTGGTTGTGCTTTGATAATTGTTAAAGCTGGGCTACATCATGCTATTCTATTTTTATATGTGTTTGAAATTTTTAATACAAAGAAGTTTGCATTCTATAATGAAAAATAAAAACCTCCAATTCACAAGGCATACAGAGATCAAAGATACACATTAAACTTTACCACAAAACACAATCAGAAAAATCCTTACCTCTGCAAAACTTTATAGGACAAATGACCATTAGCACTAAAATGTTCTAGCTTTTGACATAACCCTTAAAATAATTCATTAAATCACCCATTAATTTTTAAGGCTGTGTTCTGATTTGTAATATAACTAACATATGTTTGAGAATTAACAACACAGTGCCATGAAATTAGTGAAAAATAATAAATTTTTCTTGATATTCTTGAACAAAAATCAAAGAGAATTTTTTAAACATGCATAGAAAAATTACACTTGCTTGAAGATTTTTTTTAAACCACAAATAACTATTTTTAAAAAGTGAGTAAAACAAAAGCATACCTCCCAATGTTGAGGGTTCACCAGTAGGAATGGGGGATGACAATTCAGGTCTAAAAAAAAGTGTTTGCAGTTAATAAAAAGAAATATAGGGGCTCACAACGAAGTTTGAGACTTGTTTTCCAAAAGGAAATCACTGGATTATCAAATAAGTGTTCCCAATGCATTAAATAACAAAGTTTTCTTAAATTATAGCTTTATGTATCATTCAGTTTACACTTAATGATGCCTATTTAACTAAACCCATCTCTCTCTTATACTTCCCTAGGTATAGTTCATCACCTGTTTTCTTCCTTTTCAGTTTAAATTACTATATGATGCTATTTCATTTATTTACTAACTTCTTCTCCTACTCCTTAATCCTCTAGAATTATCCAACATGGTAACCAATGAACATAGGTAGCAACTTAACTAAAAGTTAGAAATTTAGTTTCTTATTCACACCAACCATCTTGCAAGTGTTCAGTGATCACATGTGGCTAATGCCATGCTGGACAAGACAAAAAAGAATTTCTATCATCACAGAAAGTTCTATTCAACATGATTGCATTACAAATCTAATCCTAAGCTGGACATGGTGGTTGCAGTGGGGCATGGATATATATGTCTATAATCCTAATACTCAAGAGGCTACAGCAGGAGGATTTTGAATTTTATGCCAGCTTGAACTATTTAGCAAGACCTTGTCTCAAAAAACTGAAGTGCCTGCATACATACATATACATACATATATCCATACAAATAATAAATAAATGTGACAGCTCTAGGATGAGTCTAGGGGTATAGATCAGTGGTAGATTGCTTGCCTAGTTTATCTGTACTCAATCCCAAGTACCCCCAACGAAAAGTTTTTAAAAAGCTAAAAAAAAAAAAAGCTAAAGTCTGAGATTAGAGACCTTGCTTGTCATTTTCCTATTGTATCTCCAGTGCTAAAGGGAGAAAAAAGTACCTTCTATTAGAAGGCATTTTACAATACCCATGGTCTGTGAAGATTATAGTTTCATACAAAATATAGATAATAGGGCTGTACATGGTGGTGCACATCTGTAATCCCATTCATCACCTGCGAAGCTAAAACATGAGGATTGCTATGAATTCGAGGCCAACCTGAGCTAACTCTTGAGCTCAAGTCCAGTCTAAACTACATAACAAGACCCCATCTAAAAAAATACAGATATCAAATAAATGGTTATAATGCAACAAGTAATACAGACAATAAAGCTCTGACTGGCAGATCGGAACATACAGCTGAAAATCTTATCTCATTTGAGAGATCATCATAATCATAAAACATTTCATGTAAATCATAAAAGATTGTGTGCAAAGTGCTAGAGGCCACATTTACCAGGTTATCCTCCCACTGTAAGCAAAGCTCAGAAGATAATCCAAGAAAGTTCCTGCTCAAAAAGGAAAATGAGGTTACCATAAACCCAAGTTTCCTCATACACAAAGATGTAAAAGTTGGACTATACCAATGTACGCACATTTCAGAACTTTAAAATTGACATCATGTCCTAAGTGGAAAGAGATGCTTTATTAACCTTTTTCAAAGATGTTTATCAGTGGTGACCATCAGTTTGCAATTTAGAACAATTGAAAACTCTTTTTAGTGGTTTACAAGTCAACTCCCTAAAGTGATTTGATCACAGTCAAAAATATCTCATTTAAAGTATGCTATGTGCCCCTCCCAAAAATTTTCCTCACAGACATGTGCAGGTATAAAAAGTAAGGTAAAAGATAATTTGATACTGAGTTTTATAATACATTTTTTAGTAGTGCTGGAGATTGGATCCAGGGAGAACTGAGCTACATTCCCAGCTCTTTTCTTTTTTTCTTTTTTTCTTTTTTTTTCTCTTTAGTGAAGACAGGGTCTCCCAAAGTTGCTCAGAATATCCTCCAATTTAGAGATCCTCCTACTTCAGACTCCAGAATAGCTTTAATTACACACATGCACCACAATGTTCCGTACTTGTTAAAAATAAATATTATCCCATAGCAGCAAAACTCATTTTTCCAAACCTATAGATCAAGCTGACAATGACTTTTATTTATTATTCCAGTAGAGTCAATCTGTCCTACAAGATGATTGCATTATAGCTTTTACTATTTTTATTTTACTCTAAAATTGCAAAAAGATTTTAAAAATGAAAGACAGTCTAAACCCTGGATTAAAGTTGCTGCTGGGCATGGTGGCACATGCCTGTAGTCCCAGGAGAAGCAGGAAAATTGCCACAAGTTTGAGGCCAGCCTCAGCTACATATTAAGTCCAAGGTCATCTTGAACCACATAGTGAGATCCTTTCTCAAAACAAAAACAAACAAACAAAAAAAGTTGTTGCAAATTTGGACTCAGCGGACCTGAGATCAAAACTTAATGCCACCATTCACTAGTTGTGCTATAATCATTCATTCATTTGATATTTATTTAGCATTTATTTTGAGCCAGGCAGGATCTCAAATTTTAGGAATGTAAACATGAGCAAAAGTTAGCCCAAATTTTCTGAGAGGAGATGATCATGGATTCATGGATCATGAGTTATTCACAGAGCACTTCCTAAAGTAAATAATAGCTAAACTAAGGGGAAAAAAACACAATGTGAGTTAGTTACCAAGGCAACAAATATAGAAACATAATGGTACAAGAGTGGTCTAAAAGAGTGTCTGAATAGACAAATGAGGCTGGAGGCTAACACAGGCCTGATTGTAAAGAGCCTCATTAGTCATATTAGTCTTAATTTAAAGAGAAATGGAGAACTACTAAATTATCTTTCATAAAGGAGGGACATGAGCAGATTTGTTATTTTTGAAAAACTCTAATCATAGTGTTGAAGTGGCTCAGAAGAAGGTAGAGAGTTGATTATCAAGACTTTGTACTAAGAAACAGTTCAACATAATTAGAGTAAGTAGTAAGGTCAAAAAGAAACTAGAATCAAGATTATTAAGAAATAGAAGAAAATGGAAAGGAATTCAGTTAACTAGATATTTGATGGTGCTAATTACTGATAAGAGGAACTCAAAAAGAAACAAATTTTGAAAAAAAGATTAACTTAGCTTTGGGCACACTAAATTTATGGAGGACTTGTACAAAACACCCAGGACCCAGCAGATTAAAGTTGGATGAGATAACTTCTACAATTCTATTAGGTGGATTGACAGGTGGTACTCAACTTGTAGCACTCAGATGAACTGAATTATCATGGTGCTGGGTGTGGATGGCCCACCTGAGGATTGTTTCCAACAGCATATACAAGAAAATTGAAGGGGAAGGTAGTGTGCAGTTGATTCTCCTGGAGAAGCATGTCACGCAGTTTTTCTGATACAAACTTGGCTGTTCTCATCATCAGAGGAGCTTGGAACCTCACTGTTGCTGAGGATGTTTGTGGTTCTCTTTAGGGGAACTCTAGCACTTACTCTGAGTATCACTTCCTGGCTCCAGTGCAGATCCCTCAGCCTGCTGGTAGAGATCCTTCATCCTGCTAGTATAAACTTTCTAGCTTACACCATTGACCTTTGGGCCTTCCCAGTGCAGATCTTTGATACAGACTTGCATGAAAGATTGTTGTGGGCTCCAGGCCTCCACTGAACTCATGGAGGACACTGCCATAGGCTCTAGATCTTCAACTGAACTCTTGCAGGACATTGCTGTGGCATCCAAACCCTCAGCTGTATTCTTGGGTCTCTAGTGTATGAACAGATCTCTCACACTCATGTGCATTTGACTCTTTGGATGAATATTACAAAATAATCCTATAAATTATGTGTCTGATATTAAATCTTTTCCCTTGTAAACCCTGACTACAACACATTAGAATAACAGATTTACAGATGGCTAGAAAATATTGTTTAGGAGTGATTACCTTCAGGGGAAAAAAAGCAAAAATATATTTTATTATATAAGGTTTATTAAAAAGATATGCTTTCTAAGCAATGCATTTCCTACAAGAATATTAGAAAAGTTTCCTAAAAACAATATTTTGCATGTATATAGAAAATATGAAAATAGGATAAACACTTTCACTCTCCATAAGAATATTAGACAGTTAATAACATTCCATTTTAATATGTATATACTGATGATTTTTCATTTAAAATAAACATGTTGATCTATGACAGTCCTTTTGGTAGCATTTTTAAACACATTCAGAAAAACTCTTCTAGCAGATGAACCACATGCTCTGTGGTTGTATTTATCTTTTTCTGGTAAAGCTATTAGTTCATCATTAAATCTCTAATAGTTTAAAACAGTGATTCTCAGCACCTGCTGCACATTAGCATCACCTTGAGATCTCTTTAAAAATCTCAAGCCATATTGCAACCTATTAAGTCAATCTGTGAGGTGGGACACAGTTCAGTCAATACTGAAATCACTACCCTAAAACGTCCTAAATGAGTAAAGCCTTATGTTTATAAAAAAAATTAGACTAAGAGAGAGTCAATATCAACCAGCCCAGAACATTCAGATAATGAATAAACATCGGTCCAGAAAATTTAGATAATGAATAAACATCACCCAAAGGCTTCCCTTGCTTACCACAGATCTGTGATATAGAACCACAGCTCACAACACTCCATCATTATAAGCCTGTATTCAGCATGATAAGCCTTCTATTCCTGCCCTCACTGTCCACCTGTCTTGCAATGCTCATAGCATCACATGAAAAGGGGAAATCTCATAGAACCCTAAAGTAACTAGTATGGGGATTCTAAGACAGTACAAGTCCTTTAAGGTCCTTATCATTTCAAGTCCCTATTTGAATCTCAGAACCCTATTTCCTGACCAACAGAGCTCTTACCGTACAGTTCACATTAGCATAAAAAAATCACTGGGACTGATAGGACTCACAAGAGTATTTAATTCATTATTTGTCACAGTGACAATCATAAGGAACCTTTGAGCTATGTTTCCCTGTAGCCAAGAGATCACATCCAAAGAGGCACATGACCCCACATCTAAGTGGATGTCTAATCCCAAAATCCAGCATAATCCAGTCCAGTGGTATCATCAGCTGTATGAAAAAAAAAAAAAACAGTGACATTTCCACCTATTCATTCTTATTGAACTGAAACCTAGATACACCCTATGGCAGTTAATCTCAACAACTTGATTGGATTTAGAAATGCCTAGGAGATTATTAAAGCACACTTCTGAGAGTGTTTGTGTGGTTAACGGTGGTGTGAGCATGGAGACTATATTTGGTCTGTGGCTCTTTTCTGTTTTGGGGGGTGTGCACACTATGGGAGAATGAACTCAGGGCTTTCACTTAGCTACAACCTCAGAACCTTTTTTACTTTTAGTTTTTATATATAGTTTCTAAGTCATCCAGGGTGGATTTGAACTTGCATTTCCCCTGCCTCAACTTCCTAGGAAGGCTGGGATTATATGCATGTACCACCATGTTCAGGTTTTCCTTCCCTATCTGGCTTTTTTGTTCTCTATTTCCTGGATGCCATGAGTTAAGCAATTTTCTTCCATGCTGTCCTCTGCCATGATGTTTCTGCTTCGTAGCCAGCTGACCATAAACTGAGACCTTTGCAACCATGAGCCAAAGTAAACTTCTGTTTCTCTAATTTGTGGCTGTTAAGTATTTTGCACCAGCACCAGGAAAGCTGACCAATACATATCCCACTGCTATTCATATGTATAGTCCACTGTGTTTTGTCTCAACTCTGCTGTTCAGGCTGGATCTCTGGACACTGCTTGTTTACTTGAAATACTTAGTCCACTCAGTAATGCTTTCCTATGTAATTACATGCTGGCATAATCTAGATATTCTGGGGATGGACAGAAAGTTTCAGTTGCTACTGGCTCTAAATATCTCATCTTCTGCAATCTACTTTGTGCTGTTACTGTCTAAGAAGTAGAAATTATCTTGGTCCTATGCCCAAGGGACAATATAATCAAGAATCACAGCACAAATAGGTTCATCAAGGTTGTGCTACTTTTATGTTTCAAGATCATAAGAATAAAGTCAGAAAAGTAATCCACACACCAGCCATTATTTATTAAACTAGCCTCTACTAAGGTAACAGGTTTTTTTTTGTTTGTTTTTTGTTTTGTCTTTTTCGGTACCAGGGAGCAAACTCACGACTCCCTGCTTGCAAGGCAGGCACTTACGTCGCTGAGCTAAATCCCCAGCCCCAAGGTAACAGTTTTAACATTACCCTTTAAATCTTAACAACAGTGGACCATCCCAGAGATCAAGCCATAAATCTGTTTTCTTAACTGAGAAACAATTCTGCCTCCTGATAAGATTAAACAGTAGTAAGTAAACATAGTGGCTGTGGTAGTTTTCTAGAAAAAGAGGTGGCCTCAAGATAGGAAAACAAATTAGAGACTTACCCACATGCTTGGTCTTGGCAGGAACTGGCAAGAAAACAGAATAGGAATCAATAAATTAGGGATGATTAAACGAATTGAGATGTGTTACATACATGCATCAATTCTTCACAATGAATATAATCATGATGTACTGCAACATATACTAATAAAAATAACAAACAAAAAATTGAGGGTGATTCTTAGAGTAAATGTGATATATCTATTTTGCTAAACATAAATTTAGGGAAAAAAGAGACACTCACCTGCTTACCATTTCCTTTGTGTGAACCAGTTTCTAAGGAAAACAAAGATACAACAATAATACAGTCAAGGACATACATGGAACAGTAAAACTTATTTCATAGAGAACAGTAATGCACTAACAAGGCAAAATATATGTTAATATTGTTTATGTTTAGGCAAATGATAAAAATACATACTGATGTTGCTGTTTGTTTTGTGATGTAGGAATATCCCAATATTTAATCTGTGCTTACATAACCCCCAAGCCCATACTCTTTATAATGGGTAGAAATTAACAGATTTTACTTATTAACCATTCTCAAAAGAAGCCTACAAATAAGAGAGTTTTACGTTAACCTGTCATGAACTTTGAATCTTGTGATGTAAAAATGTGTAATTTTGTCCTACACCTACCTGAACATATAGATAATATAACTGATGAACCCATTTCTTCAGAATTCAAACAAAAAAGTTATTATCAGCAATTAGATTTTCCTCAAGGACATTCCGAATTTCCTCTAAATGTTCCCAAATTTCCTCTAAATTAGTAGTTTTATTTTAAGATCAATCTGATGAGAAGAACATTAACTTAGAACTAAAAATCTGGTTCTAAATTCTAGTTTCCCTTCCCTAGATATGCAATCAAATCCCAGAATCATTCAGGTGCCATGTATCAATTCATACATCAAGCTGAGAGACTATTACCCTAAACATCTCAAATGATATAAATAAATAACTCCACTGTTCTTTTTACTTGTTATGGTTTGGATCTTAAATGTCCTCAAAAAGCTTGGTTCTCAGTGCAGCACTGTTCAGAGATGGGGCCTTTGGGAGGTGTTTAGATCATAAGGGCCCTGACCCTATCAGTGGACTAAACCATTTATGGACTCATAGCTTAGTAGATTTTGGGAGAATGGTTTTGTCATAAAAGTAAACTCTGTCTCTTGCCTTACTGATCATCTTGTACTGAACAGCTTTTCTCTTCCACAATGCCTTGCTCCAAACCTAAAAGCATAAGGTCAATTACCATAGACTGAAACCTCTAAAAACATGAGCCAAGATAAATCTTTAGTCCTTTAAGTTGATTTTTCCCAATTATTTTGTCATGCAGAAGCTCACTAATGCATTATTCTACAATCTCTCCCAGCACAATCTCAGCCATTTTTATGCTTCCAACTAGTACCAGAGGATGGATGAGTCCTGTAGCTATATTTACAACCCACACCATTCTCCTTCTAAATATCAGGCAATTCAAATTTCACAGACAGTTCAAATGAATCCACTAAAATGTAAACCTATTTTCCCTATCACTTCTACAAAACTGCTTCTCTGTCTTAGTTCTTCATCTTTGTTAACAAACAAAGTTAAAAAGTGAGAGGTTTCATTGCTTTGAAGCCTTATAATGATCGCAGTTGTAATGTGTTTGTCCTGGTTTTTTGATTTTATTACCTGTGATGGTATGAACAGCTAATCTGAGGGAAACAAGTCATTATAATAGCCAGTGCTGATATAATATCATGTTACTCTGAAGTCCTACCATGCTCTTGCTCTTCTGTTTCCAATGGCTCTATCATGTTGTACCTTACTGGATTATAATATGTGTGAAAGTATAAACAAATTTCCTATGAAAAATGAGATAATATAGTAGCCATGGTTGGTTTTCTATTATTTGGTTCTGAAAGCCCTGTAATACTCTCATTCTCTTGAATATTTTTTATACTATTTTGTTATGTTTGATACTATTGTATATGAAGTTATACTCAACTATTTCAAAGAAAGAGACATTGTGGTATTTACTGTTAATTATGGATTGTCTTCTGGTGAAATACTGTGTTGCTTACATTGTTCTGTTCTGATCTGCTCTGTTTTGTCCTTTTTTGTCTTAATCTCTTTAAAATAAAAAATAAAGGAAGTGGGAGGTTTCTTGGGCCATTCTATTCCCATCCAATCTATCACAGTTCCTACTAATCTTATTTCTTATTTATGTCTTTCACACTGCTCCTCTCCGTCTCATGGTCTGGCTAGGAACCTCATTATCCCAGGCCTGGAGTACTGAGGCAGAATCCCCCCACCCAGTTTCTTTGTCCAGTCTTTTCTTGTGTACACCTTTCTGTGGTGTGCAAAACCATAATGATGTCTAACGTTTAATGTCCTCATCTAAATGGGGACAATGCTACCTCTATTAAGGATATTTATTTGATATAATACCCCCATAAACCTAATACATAAAGGGAGTAAATGATAGCTAGTATCATAATTATAGACATTAAGCAATTAAAAATGTGACAGAGAAAAAAAGAGCTTGAAATGTGAGATATCATGAGTAAAAATTATGTCCATTTTAAGACAGACAAAAAACTGCACACTTTCAAAATGTTTATAACCCCACAAAATGTGTCTTTGAGTCTACCCATTTTTATCACATCATTTTCTGTCTATAACCTGCCTTCATAAAATGAGATCTTCTCTCTGTAAAACCAAAATGAAAATAGTAGTGTCTTCACTAGAAATAAAAACTTAAAATACAAAGAGTTTGATAATATGTTATATCTTTAAGGTGTGTAATTTAAGATGTACTCTGATTGGACACAAATAAAAATAGCTCAAAGTTATTTATTCAGAAACAGTGTTCGGTCTTTGCAAGGTATATATTACCAACAATATTTGAAATAATATTCATAAAGCTTATAAATTGAAGCTTACTTCAATTTCGGTTATTGCTTAAATATTTTTGTTTCCAAAATAACTACTGCACATTTATTGTATTATAAGAATGAAAAAATTGCATATAATAACACAATCTTTGCCTTTTTTTTTTTTGAGACAGGGTCTCGCTATGTTTAGTCTGGCCTTGAACTCACTATGTAGCTCAGGGTAGCCTCAAACTCACATGATCCTCCTCCCTCATCCTCCTGAATGCTACGATTATAAGGGTGACCCACCATGCTGAGCAGTCCTTGCCTTTTTTTTTTTTTTTTTTTTTTTTTGTCTTTTTCCTTTTTATCAGTACCGGGGATCGAACTCACGACTGCCTGCTTGCAAGGCAGGTGCTTATGCCGCTGAGCTAAATCCCCAGCCCCAGTCCTTGCCTTTTGCCTCACAGTATAGTAGAGGAATACAACTGGTAGTAATAAAATATAAGAAATAAATGTTAAATAATAAAGAAAGAACAGTGGAATCTCAAGGAATTTGAAGCTAAATCTGCTAACCTGAAGTCTGGTTCTTTCAAGAAATGTTACATCTGAGCTAAAGACAAATAAGACTTGAATAAATGGATGGAGATACATGGCGTATCAGACAGCATAAATAATTTGCCACGTTTGTCTGAACAATTTACTTTTCACGTTATAAATACTGGCATGCTATGTGAAAAAGATAAAATGAGTAGGTAACTTGTCTATATGCTTATTTACCCTTTGCTAAAAATAAACTAATATCTAAAACAAGAAAACTGGGCCGGAGATTTAGCTCAGTGGTGTAAGCACTTGCCTGGCAAGCGCAAGGTCATGAGTTTGATGCCCGGTACCAAAAAAAAAAGAAGAAGAAAAGAAAAGAAAATTAATCAAATCATTAATTGCAACCATATTTATGCTTCACTAAATATTTATTGAATGGAACTATATCCTCTATCTTAATTAAAATCATTGCTACCCAGTCTGAATTAATATATAAATTAATTTGCCAAAAATATCTGACTCATAGATCTATATTTATAGCCTAAAAACATTTGCTGACTACTATTTCCAAATATCTACATTTATGAACAAAGCTGAGGCTGTTACCTAGATTAACAATATCTAATATGAAAGCCAAAACTAGACTAAGATACCCCCTCGCACAGCTCAATTTAGCTGTGTATATGTGCTCCTTCAACAATGCAATGATTCTTTCTTTCCTTGTGACACTTACCTTCATGATTAAGCTTCTGTGTTCCACAGACTGACTAAAATTTGTGCCCATTTCAAAAATACTTGTGATTCCATCTTCACACAAATTCATCCAGTAATGATATTCTTTGCTCCCAGGTAGTCGATCCCAAAAAGTCTTGAAGGCTTCCCAGACAGCTTCCTGGCACACTGGAAAAGTGACCAAGATGCTTTTGTAAAATGCTGACATGCTCTAGGATTCACACAATAGTTATGGAAAGAGTCATGCAGATTTCCATAAGATACTCCTAGAGATTGATGCCCTTTTTTGAAAGGGCACACAAGTCTAATTAAAAGATTTCTGTTAAAAGCTTTTCTCTTTGTCCAGTTTAAATATTGCAGTTCTGAAGAAAATGTGTTTTCCCCTGCTCTTTTACTTTACAAAAGAAATTGACTCATCTTTTAGTAAGTTGGAGTTTTGTTTCCAATCTTTCTTATAAATCCATGTTTATGTATTATAAAAGTGGACTTGATAATGAACATGCAGTATTTTATCAACCCTGTGATTAGTGTTGGACACTGTGATTTTAAGTTTCTTTAATGTTTACAGATACTCCTGGTCACAACTTCAAAAACCAGTTTCTCAGGATGGCTTGGGAAAGAGATAATGACATTTTTTAATGGCCTAAAATCATTTGGAAAAAATGCAGAGACATAAATGCTTTGTTTCCACTCCTTTGAGAACATGTCACATATCTCTAATTTAAACAGAAATAGTTAATAGGAGTTGGGAATGCAGCTCAGTGGCAAAGTGCTTGTCTGTTATATGTGAGGTAGTGGATTCAACTCCAAGAACTGGAGAAAAGGTACTAGAAACTCCTTAAAGCTTATGGAAAGTTAAAAATGGTTTATAAAAATCAAGAAGAGGATGTCCACTTGGAGTTATTACTCTCAAGCTACTGCATTTCATATCTGAAAACAGAAGATGGTGAGTTGTTTTTATACATAAAAAGAAAATGAAATTCAGCAGTTGTGCTTTTTGATACTCACCTAATGAACTAAAAATTTATGCTCACACTAAAACCTGCACACAAATGTTTGAAGTAGCTTTATCTATAATTAGCAAAACTTGAAGATGATAAAAATACACTTTAATAAGCTAATGGATAAATAAATTCTGAATAGCCATATAATAGAATATTATTCAGAGATACAAGAAAGGACCAGGAATATAGTTCAGTGGTATAAGCGCCTGCCTGCTAAAGACAAGGTCGTAAGGCCCCCTGACCAAAAAAAGAATTCAGAGATACAAAGAAATGAGTTTTCAAGACATGGAGAGAATTTAAATACATGTTATCAAGTGAAAGAAGCTGAGCTGAATTGGGTACATACTGTATGATTCCAATGAGATTCTGGAAAAAGCAAAGACAATAAAAAGATCAGCCTCTCCCGGGATCAGGAGAGGGCAAAATGACTAGGCAGAGCACATGGGATTTTCAAGTTAATGAAAGTAGCCTGAATGACATTTTACTGGTATATACATTGTCATCATACATTTGTTATTGAATGTATACCACAAAGAGTAAACCTTATTGTAAATTATGAACTTTAGTTTAAAAAACTTGTCAATATCTCGTCAAATAACTTGTCAAAAACATGTTGACTTACCTAAATATTCAAAGCTTTAAAGCACTAATCTTTTTTAATGCAATGAATAATTACTGTCAGTGATGTTATTTTGTAAATTGCACAGTAAATATTCATATTTTTACAATTTGACCATCTTTACCTAAAATGTTTGTAAGAGCCCAGAATATAGCTCAGCACCACAGCACCTGTCTGGAGAGCACAAGGTCATGAGTTCGATCCTCAGTACCAAAAAATAATAAAACAAAATGCTTGAGACCAGAAGATTTTCTATTTCTCATTTTTTGTTTTTGAATATATATAGATATTTCTATATCTATATCTAATGAAATATCAAGGATAGGGTCAAAGTCTAAACAAAATAATTCACTTATGTTTTCCCTATACCTTATACAAATAGTCCAAAGGCACTTTTATGTAATACTCTTATGGTGCCTGTATTTTGACAGTAAACGGTCATATGACATGAGACAGAATTTTCTGCTTGTGACAAAATGTTGGTGATTAACATGTCTCAAACTTAAAGCATTTCTGATTTCAGATTAGGGATGCTCAACTGTATCATGTTGCATTCTGATTGTCTAATGTTGATTGATGGAAGAAAATAGTATCAAAAACAATTCTTAAACTTTAGGTGAGTGAAATACATGAATGTTAAATTGTCTTCTCTCAATTGATTTTTCATGGTTAACTCAAGCTTTTGGTTACATATTTAATTCCCCTTTCAGTACACTAATGGCATACTTTTTCTATACTTATTATTGCTATTTAAAATGTTTGACTAATCCAATATACAGAAGAATCAGCAGGTACTGAGGCAGAGCTGACCCACTTATAGATCACAGTGCTTCCTTTTTTCTTAATATTTCCACACAAAGTTAAGTAAATAGTGAAAGAAAATGCAAAGATAAAAGATAAAAATTCAAGATGAAGATAAAAGATAAAAATTCAAGATGAAAAAGTGAATGCTTATCCTGTAGGGAAATGAAATAATTCAGAAAAAGTACAAAAATATTGTTAGATAAAATAATTGCATATCCAAAGAGAAAAGAAAATAAATCTAAACTCTTTCTTCAAAAACATACATAATTTAGCTATTGTGATTTATATAAAGAAAAAATATCATATATATATGTATGTATATAGATAGATCATTTATGGTCAACTGATTTTCAGCAAGGATGCTAAAACCATTAGGTGGAAAAAGAGAAGTCTTTTCAACACATTGTGCTGGGACTACTAGATATCCACATGAAAATCATGAAATCTGGACCCTTACTTCACATCATATACCAAAAACTAACTCAAAATTGATCAAAGACTTAAATGAATAAGCCAAAACTATAAAACCCTTAAAAGAAAAGACAGGAGTAAATCTTTATGACCTCAAATTTGGCAGTGGATTCTCACTTTAAAAATGAAAAACACACACATACAAAAATTATACAATTGGGTTTCATCAAAATAAAAAGGTTTTGCATGATAAAATCATAAAGAAAGTGAAAAGCCAGAGCCCAGGACCGCAGCTAATGGTAAAGTGGTTGACTAGCTCATGGCCCTAAGTTCAGTTCCCAGCCCCACCAAATAAACAACAAAGAAACCCAAATGAAAACTCAATCTACAGGAAGATCAAAAAATAAATGGTGGTCCCTGCCTATAAGCCCAGCACTCAAGAAACTAAGACAGAAGGACCAAAACAGGTTTGAGTGCAGCATGGGCTATTCAGTCACAGCTAACCTGATCTGCAGAGCAAGACTTTATTCCCCCAACAAAAAAATGTTTCAGGGAGATCCTTTCAAGCCGTTTATCTGGTAAGAAATGTATGTCCAAAATGTATGAAGAACTCATGCAAATCAAAACTAAAAAAGACAACCCAATTTTAAAATGGGAAAAAAATCCAAACCGACATTTTTTCAAAATAAGATAGAAAAATAACCAATAAGCATAAGAAATTATGTTCAATGTTACTAGTCAGTAAGGAAATGGAAATCAAAATCACAATGACATTCCACTTTACACCCACAAGAATATTTATAAATTACAGTCCCGGCAAAGATACAAAGTAGTCAAAACATTTACACACTGTTGATGGAAATGTAAAATGCACTGGCACTTTGTAAACCAGGCTTGCAGCTCCTCATTTGGAAAAATATGGTTACAGTATGATACAGAAGTTCTGCTCCTCACTAAAATTAAAAGGACCCTAGTACCTGTTAATTAGTGAATGAGTACACTAAATGTAGTATATCCATACCATAACATATTACTGGGTCACAAAAAGGAGTAATGATAGATCTACCTCATGAATGAACTTGAAAACAATATTAAGGAAAGAAGGCAGTTATACAAGACCACATATTATATGATCTTACTTGTATGACATATCCAGAACAGATAATTCTGTTGAACCAGAAAACAGACATGTGATTACTTAAACTTAGAAAACAAGGGAAGGAACAGAGGATAAGAACTAAAATGTTTTGAATTTCATTTTAAAAGTTTTTCAATTGATTGTGGTGGTGGTTTTACATTTCATGAATACACCAGAGAACCATTGTATTGTGCACTTTAAAGCAGTGGATTATATGATCTATGAATTATACCTCAATGAATCCATTTTTAAAATGCAAATCTCCCTGAAAAAATAACACATCTTTATCTAATGGCTTTTCAGTTGGGAGCTTTCTTACAAGAAGACACAAGTAATTAACTTGGGATAATATTTAAAATAGACTTTCAGGAAGATGGCACAGCAGTAAGCAGCTGAAAAAGAGCCATTTGGTAATAGGAAAATGGCGGCTTGCTAGGGGGCTGAGTGCAGAATTTCTGTGGAGAAATCAGGTCAGATGCTAGAATATGACAACATGGAGAGGGCCAGATGAATGGATAATGATGCTTATTAACCAAGGTGGTAACCAAAGGGAAAAATAAAACTAGAAAGAGGGAGGAAAAGCACAGGTGGAGAGTTGAAGCCCAGTGTGCTCACTGAGCCCCATTCCACACTGTACTAGCCACGCTGAGAGGATATAAGGTCATGGCTCTTGGCGACTGCTGGAAATTGAGACCTGGGACCCCACAAAGCAGCCAAAGCCACCTGGCTGCCCTGAAGAAGACTGCAAGAAGCTCTGGAGCTTGAAGCTGGACACCGTGCAGTTTTCTGACCCATCTGCACTGTGCTGGGGGAAAGAAGTGAAGACAAACAGCACAGTGTGCAGTGGACCCAAGAGGAAGATGTGCATTGAGTCCCAGTGAGTACTGGGGAGTCCCCAGTACTGAGTCCCCAGTACTGGGTGCCATGGCTGATGTTGCTGGCTGGAGGACATCTTGTAATTGGGCAGAGCCCAGTGCCGCAGTGACATCAGATAGTCGCCCCTCATGCAGAGAGGTCTGGTAGAGGACAGCTAGGATTTGGGCAGAGCCCTGCGCTGCAGTGACATCAGTCAGCCACTTCTGGCACACAGAGAACTGGCTGGGGGTCTGCTGGGGCTGAACCACGCCTCTGGTTGGGACCCAATAAGCAGATACAAAATAGTCACAACTCTGTGACGTCCACAAGGTGCAGC